TTGCGGATTTGGTGTAGGCATGCATAATATATTGAAGCTGTATTTCGTCAATTCATCTAAGCAACGAATTGGTCTGCACATTAGAAGTGTGCAAGTCTTATTATTCATAAGTATTATGATTAATTAGTCAGTGTAAAGAGATATTGAAGTCATTTTCTCCCACGGTCTGATGTGGTTTATTGGCTAAGCTCGTGGTCTAGCATTCAGGAGGGCAGAAGTACGACTGCATATGGTGCCGGTGTTTTTGTTCACAAAACCGTCCTTAAATACGATGTTTGTTGACCATTAGTCGCTCAGATATGAAGGAAACTGACGAGAGAACAGATTGATATGTCAAAGTGCAAGTTCTTTGTTCATACTAATAATAATACTATAGAAATGCTACAAGTGTGGCATTACATGTTTCATTTTTTTTATAACGCTAGTGTTAAGTTCCAGAATTTTGTATGGACCACTAATAATAATTGGTTGAACATGAGCATCGCGGTGATGGTCATATATTTAGCCCAATGTTATGATTACTTAACAGTTCATTTATAAGCTGCGTTTAAAATTAGGTATGTAGAATCAATGCCGCTAATACAGTAACCTAATAGGTAACGTACTGTACTATATCCTCACGGTTATTGCTTCGGAAATACCAGAAAAAAAATAATTGTATGGCGCCAATAAACTGGGTTATATGATTATATTTAAAAGCATGCTACAGGGAAACTGGTCAACTTATTGCATAAATTACGTCAACATGAAAAATAATGAGAACCTTAATAAGTACTTGACCATGGTTTGATCTAAATGTTTTGTTTAAAAAAACTTATTAATAGTACTATCGATCGTATCAAGCTACTAAACATCTCCAACCGAAAACGTTTTAGGATTAGTTCATATGGTCTATATCGAGTCTAAGTGAATATGTGTATAAGAAGTACTACAAACACAGTCAATTAACCGAAAAAAGTAAAAAAAATAAGACTCGCCTGGGTTGCTTTTTGAATTCACCGTTACTGCCAGGGCTAGTTGTGTGGTTTCATAATACATGCTCACAGGGAATTCGTTCAACGTTTGCCTCCAGCTTTTTAATTGTTTACTATTATTGGTAAAATCTAAGAAATTGTTTAGTTCAACAGGCGCAGCTTGTTCACATCACTCACCTTATTTGGAAATTTGTCGTTCTCTGGTGTGACTTACTCCTTTTTATGAATTCGACTACTGTCATTCAGCAATTGTTTAGGAATACCTAGCTTATGTATCCAGTATTTTTTTTTTAATAAAAATTTTAACACACACTCATATATCAAAAGTAAAAGATCTGGGGAGTTGTGGATAGTGTGACATCAAAAAGTATTTTTTTTTAGTTAAATAAAATAGGTGGGACGTTATGAGAAAAAAAATTATTTTTAAATAAACGCAGGATCCTACTAGGTACGTGATTAGATTTTATTCTGCAGCCAAAACTGTCAATATTCTTGACTGACTAATATATGTGCCCATCTAACCGTTTTAGTCACATGTACAGATTTACCGTTTTTACATGTCGATTCCGCAATTGTTTTGTCAGTTAAGCGATCTAACAACACGTACGGTGGTTCATGATCGAGATAAGCTGGTTTTAACCTACCAATACTTACGGAGTCCGTGTTTCCATGTCCTTCTATCATGAAATATTCATCTTTTCTTGAGACGACTTTGAAAGGTCCTTCAAACGGGGGCTAAGCGGTGCTTTTATTTTGTCACACCTTATCCAGACGTACATGCAATTGCTTAGACCTTTAGGTATATATATAGCTCGCGATTGTTCACGAGTATTAATTGGCTTAAGTTTGGACATGTGGTCCCGTAGTTGATCTACGTAATTTTCTAAATTAAGTTTTTGACTGTTAGTATTAGGGGTTAATAAATTCACCTGGTAGTCTCAGAGTTGTTCCGAAAACCATTTCCGCTGCTGAACACTGTGCGTCAGTTTTGACAGATGTTCGTATTCCCAACATAACTGACGGTAGGAATTCTGTCCACTGATTGGGGTTTGAGTGAGACATAAGAGCGGTCTTTAGCTGACGGTGAAAACGTTCTACCATCCCATTAGCCTGAGGATGATATGCCGTACAGCGTATCCCATTGGAGCCTAGAAGTTTAGCCAAGTTATTGAATAGTTCGGATTCAAATTGCGCTCCTCTATCGTTATTGTTATGCGTGTACCAAAAATGGGTACCCAGTTCTGCATGAAAACCTTGGCTACTATTTCCGCTGTGATGTCCGCTATCGGGAATCTGGTAAATCGATCTATGCATGTAAAAAGATAATTAAAACCGTTCGAACGTGGTAAAGGTCCTACCAAGTCGATATGCACATGGGCAAAACGTGCATCTGGTTGCAAGAAAACAACTATGGGTGAATTTGTGTGACGAATAACCTTTGATTGTTGGCATGTCGAACACTCTCTGACCCATTTGTGTACATCCTTCTGTAAATTCGGCCATATATATCTGGCGTTAATTAGTTTAGTTGAAGCTTTTGCGCCAGGATGAGACAAAGCATGGAAGTTATTATATATCAACTTTCGCATACTTTTGGGAACGAAAGGTCGTGCTTCAGCGTCTCGAAGTCTACTGTAGCACGTTCATTTCTAATCTAGATAAAGCGTCTGCAGCCTGATGGTCCCGACCTTAGACATGTCGGATATCACTTGTGAACTGTGATATATAGTCAAGATGTCGGACTTCTTGCGGTGAGTATTTCTCAGCTTTCGCTTTTAATGCATTCATTAGTGGTTTGTGATCTGTAAAGACTATAAATTCCCTGCCTTGGAATTTCGCTGTTGTTACTGGCGGAGTTTGAATCAAGGGATGTGATGTGACTTTCTTTGCCTTTTGTGTAATTCGAAGTTTCTTTCAGTGTTAAGCGTCGTTTCTTAGTGTCAACGAGAAACTCGTATCTCTCTAGATAGTCCATCCCCAATATTGCCAGATCTAAATCGGCTACAGTGAAAACTCAGGGGAATTGTCTTATGAACCCCAAATCTCTTGTTAAAGTTTTCTGCCCAAACGTCGCAATTTTAGTTTTATTGGCAGCTTGGAGTGTGACTGGGGATGTTTTTCACCCCAGCTCAGTTTTGTTTTGAGGTATGATACTGAGAGCAGCGCCCGTGTCTACCAAAAAGCACAAGCCGGAGTTTCTGTCTCTAACATAAAACAAGCGACTATTTAGGCGCCCCTCCTCAGTCGTCGCGACCTGGGGAGGGGTTACTCGTTTCCCGCATTTCTGGTATTTTGTTTGGGCCAGGCGCAGGGTTGCATGCACTTTGTTGAGTTGACACCAAACTTCCAATGATACCAACAGAATTGCCCAGATTGTCTAGACATTTGTAATCTGTTTCGTGACTTGGATCTTGTTCGTTGTGGTGATCTACCCTGTTTCTCTGATCCATTTGCATTTTGGCAACAGCCTCAGTGAGACTTTTCACACTCGCAATGAGTCCCTCTATGACTGAGCCTTTTGCTGGTTTTTCTTTTTGTGTGTGGTTTATCGTGTGATCCAGTTGGGGGACCCCTTTCCATTATCCTATCGGCTATACGCGCTAAATGAGATAAAGAGGTTTCAGGATCTTGTGCATCCAAACAGTGTTGGACGTAGCATGGGAGAGCTTGTATCCATCCTTGCTTTAGGACTGCTTCCCCCAATGTGTTATCACCCACTAAGACTTGAAGGTGACGTAAAAACTGTGACGACGACCTATCACTTAATGTTTCTCCTTGGAAAAGCCTTTGGATTCTTTGACTGTCTGATAATGATAAACGGTTCATAATCTCTCGTCTTAAAATGGTGTAGGGTTGTGGTGATGGTGGGCTTAAAATCAAGTCACGGACTTCTTTGATGACTGGAGGAAGTATATAACACAAGTCTCTATAGCGAATTCCCTCGGATTTGATATTATGTCTCGTGAAATAATGCTCTAATTGAGCAAACCACAACTCAGGATTACTATGATCAAATTCTGGAAGTCGGGATTTCGTAGTCATAACAGTGTCTATCTCCACTGGTGACAAATCCTCCAGGTTTTATTTTATTATTTATTTATTTTAACACATAAGTATAGGTACAGGGAGGCACCAAAATACATATGCGCCACACAAATCTCAATTGATTTGTGTGAGGGCTGTGATACTGCCCGGGTGCCCAAACCGAAGCAGGTGGTTGTCTTAGGGGGCCACACCCCGAGCCTTTGACCTGAACGTCTGACCCACAAGGCAGTGGAGCATCGTGAGGAGATGCAGTCCCATGGTAGCCGGTGACCAACGATTGGTTCATACGCCATTTGTTCCCGCAGGATACTGGAGCCCATGTGCACCATTGGTTTGGGGTCCGGTTAAAGCGCCAGACATTCGCTTTTCGTCCTCTCATTTTTGTAAACAACACACCCGCCTCCAGGTTTTGGGTTTGTATTGAGTCCGACATGAAGTATATGAACAATATAGCAATAAACTTAGCACGAAAAATGGTTACTACAGCACGAATACCTTAAGATATTAAAAAAACTATGTATAGATATATATATACCAGACTATGTTTACCGATGATCAGAAGGTCTACTTTTACGACAAAGTAAAACCAAAACAAAATTATTAATCAACAATGAAATCAAATTTGTGTTTCACAGGGCTCACCAGTTTCGTGCCTTATGGTAACCCTCGCGTTATTAATAGAAGAAACCAGACTCGTAGGAAAATATGTCTTTATTTTGATCTTCGCGCAGTCACAGTGGAGCGTGGGATTACTTACTCAGGCAAACAAAACCACTCAACAAGCAATATAAGATAGATAGAAATATAACGCCTAAACAAAATAAGGAAGTGAATAAATATCTGAACTATGCTGTTTTGATATATGCTTAGTTGCTTCAGATTAACTCTTGACAACCAACCTAAGCTGTTACACTTCCTACACTATATTATTATCAGACTTAGTAAAATAAATTAGTATATTATATTCTGTAGAACGAAAATAATAAGAGAAAATTGTATTTCATTTCTGAAAAGAATGAGATGTAGAAATAGAATACTGTATTATTACATCGTGATAACAGGTATAGGAATGAAGAAACAATTATTTATTTGTTTCCTCGTATTCAGGATTCTTTCGGAGAAGTATGAAACCCTCTAAAGGAAGTTGTGTTATAGGTAAATATTCATCGGTTGCAAGTTCTGCACGTTCACCATGAGATAATAAAACTGGTGTGGTATGCGTCTGAAATCCTGTGATGGTTTTCGGCCTTCCTGCCTGACCAACAACATCGACAGCCTGACCTACACGAACAGTTACAAGCGAAGGTTTCAAGTCTTCATCGAAAGTCATCAACAGACGAGGTTGAATTGCAGGTGTAATATAAAAAATCAGGTAGTCGTGTCTACTCATAAATGTCATCCTCATATCCAGACAAGAAGTTAACAGTATGAGAAGTCCAGCTAATCCAACAGGACGGCATAGGAATCTATCAGAATGCCAAGGACTCAGTGTAAGGGTCCCTTTTCCAAGATGTGTTAAGCCTTGAGCAAGTCGAACTAAAAACAAATTGTATGGATCACGGCTATGATAAACAGCAAGCTGACGTAACATAGCAGCTAAACGTGCATTATTTGTTCCTGAAAGGAAAAAATGGCACCAAAAAATTTTAAGTAGAAGACAAATAAGGTTCACGCTGTAACTAAGATCACAGATATCCATAAACAACTAAGATTATAACATACAAAAATACTATGGAGATCATTAATCCAGTTAGTTTTAGTGCTGATAAAAGAAAAAAACTATCATGGGTCGTGGCAATCTATATTTGTAACACGTGAAAAGCTTGGTTGACAGAGAACCGATAAGCTTAAAAACGTCATTTGTTCTAATAACTTTAAGAGATATGCTGTTAAAATAACCAATTGGAACTTAAACTTAATTTTAAGGTATCTATGTATTTATTTATTTGAACACATAAATATTGGTACAAACGGGCACCAAATATATATGCGCCACACAAAACAATGATAATTTGAAGAGGAAAAAAAATGAACGTGGGGAATTATAAAAAAAAAGAGAGAACAATAATGGGGGAAACGGAAAGGTACAATCAGAAGAAATCTTTCAGTTAAGGAAGAAGCAACCACTCTTTACGAAGAAAGTAAAAGAAGGTTACAGCAGGATCGCCACTGGCTTCTATTCTAAGCCATATCTGATAACGTCTCTAGCCACTGTGTTACACCGTCTGTCGGACCCCAGCCAGGGAGTCGTGAAGGTCCAACACAAGCCAGCCCTTTCCAGCTTTCTTTCATACCACGACACCATCTCATATACTGACCACCTTTCCGCTTTTTCCAACCAGTCCCAGGGTCGGCAAGTAATGCACGATGTTGAATTTTCTGGGATGACATTTGTTGAACATGTCCAAGCCACCGAAGTCAGTGTTTCAAGATGGTGACACCAATTGGATTGTTGTCTCTGTGCCCAAACACACGATGCCAAACCTCTGCATTACTAACATGGTGTTGCCACTGAATGTCAGCAATCCTTCGGAGACAGTAGTGATCGAACACAGAGAGTCGTCTAACATCCTCAACTCGGAGAGGCCAGGTTTCACAAGCATAGAGCAGAACTGCTCTCACCGACGCGTTGTAGATCCCACCATTTACAGCCAGACTAACATCACGAAGACGCCAAAGATGGCCCAGATTGGCATAAGCCGCTCTGGCTTTCACTATACGTGCGTTGATCTCATCACTCACGCCACCACCAGCACTTATGCAGCTACCTAGGTACACGAACTTCTCGACTACTTCTATCTGCTCATTTATCCAGGGTGAGTACAGGATTAGAATCCTGCCAGTCTTGTAGAAATACTTTGCACTTTGAAGGTGCAAAGCACATACCTACGGACTCTGATTGCCAACTGATTAAGTGCGGATTGAATGGCTTGGGCATGCTCGCACAGTAGGACAATACCATCAGCATACTCAAGGTCGAGAAGTCTTTCTCCAGGCAACAGATCCACACCACCATTACTTACATCCATCAGAGCTGTTTCCAGAATGTCATCGATGGCAAAGTTGAAGAGGAATGAGATTGGGCAACCCTGCCTAACCCCAGTGCTCGAATGGAATAGTGGAGAAAGGTGATTGTATGCCCTCACTCTGCCTGAGGTGTTTGTGTATAGGGCTTTTAGGATGTTAATAAACTTCTCAGGCACATCCTTCTTCAATAGACAATCCCAGAGAACAGTTCTGTCCAACGAATCGAAGGCATGATATCAAGAAACACTACGATTGTTGGCCTTTGATAAGTATGACGGCGTTCTAACATTTGGCGGAGGGTGAAGATATGATCAATACATCCTCAACCAGAACGAAACCCAGCCTGCTCCTCGTGAGTCAATCCTTCTCAGGTTTTGAACAACCTACGAAGTATAACGGAAGCCAATAGTTTGGGCGCAATCGGAAGTAGACTTATCCCCCGATAGTTGTTACAGCAACGACGTGAACCCTTTTTAAAGATAGGGACAACTATCGACTCATTCCATGACGTTGGTACACTCTCTAGTTCCCAGACCTTTGCAAACAACGTCGTCAGCCCCTTAGTCAGAAAGTCACGGTCACCCGGAGTAGACCGACGGGCTTCAATGAGTTGTAAGGAACCAGAAGAAACCCAGTGCTTATAAGCGGGACGTTTCGCGAACCCACAAGTGACTTTACTCGCCATTTTCATGGCGTCATGCAATTGCAACCAATGCTCATCTATACTTTTCGGTGGAATGGTAGCTAGTCTAGAAGCTAGTTCGGTTCGGTACTTACTAGCAACAGAAGTTGCAACCAGCGTGCTAACGTCAATCCTGTGGTGGCGGTCACTCCGTTGTCCACTGAAAAGTAAGGTAAGATTGGAGCAGACCAGGGCATAATCAGATTCCAGATAGGTACTCCAAAAGGAGCGGCAGTCTTGTACACAACCACGCCAGCGGTAGCTGATCGCGGTGTGATCAATCTGAGTCCAGGCTTGAGATGCGGAGGGAGGACTCTAGGTGGGACATCGGCGATGACTGTGCCGAAAGTTAGTGCTAGCCAGAAACAGGTTGTGGTCTGTGCATAGTTGCAGTAGACGTTCCCCGTTGTCTGTCCTGCGACCAACGAGTCCCCATCGGCCACCTAAACGACTCTCTTCTGTGCCTAGACACCCGACCTGAGCATTCAAGTCTCCGGCTAGTACTACAATATCTGTCGAACGCACTTTCTGGAGAAGAACAGTTAACTGGTGGTAGAATTAATCCTTGGTTGCATCCGGGCTTCAATCTGTCGGGGCATAGGCCGAGATGACGAAAAGACATCGTTTCTCACGCCGATTTCTTCTCACTTTGATGGAATTTTCTAATCTAACAGCACATAACCGACTGTTAATGGTGATCCAGTCGACTAGTGCTGCCTCAGCTCTTGCGCTTAGTGCGACACCAACGCCAGCAAGACCACACGAAGATGTCACAGGGTCCCTGGATAAACGCATGTAAACTAAGCTTTTTGAAGTGACAGATGGAGAGCGAACTTGTAGTACTTCACCAGAGTCTTGAATACGAGTCTCGGATAGACAACAAACTTTGTTATTAAGACTTTCCAAAGACATAGCCAGCCCTATCTGTTGTCCGACCTGCATAAGTGTGCGAACGTTAAAGGCAGCCAGTTTGAATGGTGCACGTGGTTTCAGAAAAACTGCTTCAGTACTCTTATTCGGTGCTAACATACAATTTTCAACCAGGCAGTGACTCGAGAACGAGCTGCTGTCCAAGTCGAAACGGATACATAAAGTGGGAATAAGAGAGAGTGAATAAATGACGTGGTAAAATAATAATAATAATGCGAGTCATTTTATTGTAAATCGGAGCGAAAAGAATGTTTGCCATAAGTAAATAGTTCATCACGTTTTAGCGCGTGGGCCGGGATACTGCCCGCGTGCCCAGACCAAAGCAGGTGGTTTTCTTAGGGGGCCACACCCCGAGCCTTTGACCTAAAGGTCTAGTCCACAAGGCAGTGGAGCATCGTGAGGAGATGCAGTCCCACGGTGACCGAAAATTGGTTCATACGCCATTTGTTCCCGCAGGATACTGGAGCCCATGTGCACCAAATTCATCATATTTTATGTGGCTGATACATTTTAGGTGGTATATCACACAGATCTTCACCGATAGATAGGTTCGGTTTCAAACAAGAAAGTCCGAGTTACATATGTGCGTCAACCTATGTTGCCATAACACTTCAGTACGGCGAGATAACAATAACATGAATATAAGGACTTGAAGCGACTGTAGTATAAATGATAGTAAGAATGAATAAAAGTAGGATAATACGTTTAAAAAAGGGATGAATTCAAGCAGCATCTAAAACATGTATTGATTTACCGCCCTTCACAGTTACCGTTAACTTATTGAGAGATGATATCACCACTTGGAAGTTAACTAATGTTCAACTTTAATCACTCAAACTGGTTAACAGTTCGAAAATATTTGAAGTCCTGAAGATACTACGGTTCAACTTCTTAGACAATGTGACCAGTGAGTGATGATAAACTGAGGTATTTAAGGAAGAATCAAAGAATAGGTCAAAGGATAAATCAGAATAAAAACTAAACCATATATCTTTAATTAGAATTGTTAGGGTGAATGATATTACATGTGGAACTGAACATCTGGAAGTCAAAACAACTGTCAGCCAACACCAAACCCAGAATTTGAAATACAAATGTCAAGACAGTTCTACTGTATGAGGAGGGAAATTGGAGAACTACGAAAGCCATCAACCAGAAGATACAAGTGTTTATTAACAGTTGTCTACACAAAATACTTAGGATTCGTTGACCAGACACTATCAGTAACAACCTACTATGGGAGAGAACAAACCAGATTCCAGCGGAGGAAGAAATCAGGAAGACGCGCTGGAAGTGGATAGGACACACATTGAGGAAAGCATCCAACTGCGTCACGAGACAAGCCCTCACATGGAATCCTCAAGGTCGAAGGAGGAGAGGAAGACCAAAGAACACATTAAGCCATGAAACAGAGACAGACATGAGAAGAATGAATAACAATTGGATAAAACTAGAAAGGAAGGCTCAAAATAGAGTGGGTTGGAGAATGCTGGTCGGCAGCCATTGGGAGTAACGGGCGAAAGTAAGAAAAGTATATTACAAATAATAAAACACTGAACTTCTATACCAAAAATACATAATGAACGTACCTGCACCGACAATACCCATTGCAATTATAGAATTGTGTGATAATTCTGCATCTGAATCATGACTAAATTTGCTTAAAGTATCCAATACTTTTAGCTGAGGATTCGATACGTAGCACAGTGCAAGAGCTAGTGGGACAGCTCTTTTAATTGGAAGTTCGCCGAATCTTAACTGCAAAGTAATTATTAAAACAAAGCATTTTCTGTCATCAAAAAGTGTCTATAATATTTATAACTAAAACCAACTTCATTAACTTACATACACTGATCATGATTGACATTTTTTAAAGGATGGGGAATTTTTCTAAGAACGCACATAACATTATTCATAAATAAGAGCTTTATACTTGCTGTAATACATTGTTAACTTGACTTATATGCAAACTATCAGATATGTAAATTTACCTGACTATTGGAATTACAATAATGTTAGACAGAACTGGACTTGAAAGTGAAAACCTAACGCCTATTCGCAAGGTCAGTCGATGATACAAGTAGAAACCACTGAATTTATCATAGAGCGGTGGCTATACTGTGTAATTAAACTTGACAAACCTAACTCTCCTAAACACACATTAGCTTCACCCGAGTTTCGTTTGCTGTTTACTACAACCTAAGAAGACATTATTATCTACTATTTATTTTACTCATATAAGTCAGTCAGTCAGTTGCAACGTAGGACCGGGCACATATATGCATAGGTCCAAGTTGCCATACCTTATTAGCACAAGATGAACACCGGATTTATAGTAGTTAATTCAGTGGTGGTAATATAAGAAGAAAGATTGCATATAAGGAGATAGTACAGGAAGAAAGAATTAGTTCGTAGAAAGAAAGATATGATATGTTGCGCTTAATATTTGGAAATACTCCTTAGTATGGTTATAGTGATTGTTGGATGCAAATTACACTTTTGCAAGCAAAAAACAGGAGGATACAAGTAATTTCGTATGTGTAAGGACTTTTCAATTTATCTACTAGACTAGCAATCGATTTTGAAATTCAGCTATTATTTGGTTAGAAACAACAGGATTAGCGTATCAAGTATCAAGAAACTTTTAAACACTTACTGCTTAAAACTAGGACGGATAAAACAGAAATAAATACTTACACCTAGTATTATATACACTTAGATACTTAATATATTCAAGTGGCACAAAAGAACATACAAGATGGCCGAACATTCGGAAGGCCATATCTAGGCCAATTTCTTCACCCATAGCAATTATAGCAACTCCCAAAACAGCTAGACCCTGATGAGCATGAAAATCAAATGTACTGTCTTCCTGTGGTGTGGAATCTGCATTGGATGTATCCATAGGTATGGGTTGGGGAATGCCTGTCTCTTCTGAGGCAATGGTGTCTTCATTTACTTGACCAGTAGTATCCATAGCTGTAGGAGCATCTGTATTATGCCCGTTATTATGGTCATTAGTAGTAGCAGATGTAGCAGCCGGTCTAGTTGACCCACCACGACGATTTCTTCCACGACCCCCTCCACGACGAGCGTCACTAGACTTTTCTTTTTTCTCTTTTGTTTTTGCGTTGGAAGCCTTATCAGTATTTTCTTTTTCTTCATACTTTTCAGAGAGGATATGCAGTAAATTTTGAATTTTTAATACATTCCCACTGCCTTTACAAAATAAATGAACATAAAAATCATATTAATAAACAATGTAGCCGACTAATGTGAGAAAGGTACATAATAAGTCATATTTAGTTAATTTACCAGATTATACTGCTGGCAGGTTATGGAACGACAATTTATGTTAATTTATTTAAAAATAACAAAACTTGTACGGTTTTATGTGGATACGAGTAGCAAATTCACGTATAAACATACGTAAAACGTGTTGACTTGATCAGTAAGACTGTTGATAATATGCTAAAGCGATGTGTTCAATAAATGATTAAAGTGAAGTATTTATATTTTCATATTGCCCTAAAATAAAATGAAAAAGCTTATATTGTTTCTTTTGGTTTTTTTTAATGACTGTTTGATATAAGTAAGTGACGGGAAATCTGTTTGGATTCTAATGATAATAACGATATTTCGCTTACGTGTTACAAAGCCTATTTACACTGTCAGATAAAGAATCTATCTTAATATGACTACAATCGCAAATGTCCTGCTTCGGTTCAGACACCCGGGCAGTATTCCAGTCCTCACACAAATCGAATGATTCATGTGGCGCATATCTATTTGGTACCTACTTGTACCAATATTTGTATTTAAATAAAAAGCAAATGCGGATCAAAAATAAATAAAGGGCAAAAAAATAACCAAAATAATTCTCGACAAGCAAGTATACACACTTACCAGCATAAGCACAAAAGTCACAGATCATGTGAGCCATTGATTTCATAGGTTCAGATACAGCCTCTAAGGAAGCGAGAATAACCTCAACTTCCTCCTGTCGGCCTAAACACGTTAGACCTAAACCAAGTGCCATAAATTTGCTAAAAACATTGCTCCAATGACTTGCAGGTCTTTCCAATAAACTTTGGATGATAGTGGAAGTGACGGTCCCATCAAGTGAACCAACTGAGATAAGGCCTGCAGAAAGTGCTGCCAAACAAGCATGTTGAAGCTTCGCTGTATTAATATCCAGGATAACAGGTGTAAGAGTACTTATAGCTTCTGCTTTCATTGAACCAGCGTAAGCTACACCGAGACCAATAATCGCCGCACGAGAAAGGACGTCCTTGTCAGAATCCACATAAGATCCTAGAAGAGCTAACGCAGGATCACATTCGTTTTTAACACCACAATTGACGACTCCACAACCTAAAAGACCACCAGCACGAGTATGATCCTCTACAGAATAAAGATATTTATCAAGCTGCGACAACCCAGTGTCAACATCCCATAAAAGTACCCAACCGAGCGTAGCGACAGTACTCATTTTACCTAATACAAATGAAATAAAACATACAAAAATGGTTTGCGAAAGAAGTTAGGAAAATCAAATATCGGTCCTAAATATCTTAAAAATATAGTTTTAAAAAAGGTAGTTTTCACAGCCCGTATTCATCAGAATAATGACTGATTAAACATAAATACGCCGCATATGGATATGCTTTTAAATTATCTAACCTGATAGACTACACAATTAAAAATAGGACAAATATGATCAATGTAGAACAAATAAACATATACACTGATCAAACCCCCTGATCACACAAAACAAATGAATCAAAAAGTGTTTAGTTCTATATGAATCAAAAACGTGTGACGACTTCTAAAGAATATGGAAACTCGGTTAATAGGTAACAAAGCGAACAGCGGACACTAACCATACTAAAAATATGAGATCAAAACCTACCGAATTCTTTCTGTTTGCATAACCATGGGACTTCTTTAGGTGTTTCTTGTAGTAGCTTCTCCTTACCGAAACCACAATTTACAAGTCCATTCACATAGGATGCAGCCAAATTAGCTCGTGCTGAGTCTAAAGTGGCCGCATTTAAAGTTGGCCTGACTGCCTCCAAATGAGATTTGTAGATATCCTCTGGTAACTAATACCGATGCAAGAAAATCAATGAGAAAATACTATATAAGCTTGGAGATAAGTGGACTAATGTGATTACATTGTCATTGGTAGTAATTACACTTTTCAACGTTACGACAGCTTTTCAACTATAATATACACTTCAAATTGTCGTCACAGAATTAAAAATGTCTGCGTACTTGGAAATGCACCTTTCAAGTAAAATCTAATTTTTGTGCTTGTTTATTACGCATCGCGGTTTTCCAAAATTATGTGATTGCTACAGCAACGACAGTCATTTTCACACTAGTTTATGTTCTTACGACATTATGAAATCTACGTATAAGCTTATTCTAGTTTTCAGACCACTAAGTCATCTTTACATTCCTGATAAATTCTACTCATAAGAAAATTTGATCTCAAACAGATTTATTTCTTTTATTCGTATCTGTATCAATTTTGTACTTGTCTGTTTTATGCGTACTTGTGTGTCTGTAGACTTATTATCTTATCCATTGTATCTTCTTACAGTATTAATCGTTTTTTGGGTTATATTAACGCTCATAATGAGTAATATTTTGGGTAGACACGTTCTATTTCTTCCAATCCGGCCAACATTTATTTGATAAAGCGAATAAGTTCATGAATATCTACATATTTGGTTAAGAAAATTTCACTCTTGCTCATCGATATCAGAGTCAACAACCTCAATAAGTTTATAATGGCCTCAGATATTACGATGGTTCTTCTGAGAAGTGGAATCAGTCAGTCAATCATTTACTGACTGTTCACGATTCTAAACAAATAATTGCCAAATCATATTAACTTTCAAATACGTAAACATAATTTACGTCAGAAACTGAAAAATGTTAGATATAATGATCGTTTATTCACAGATCCATGAAAACCGCTGATGTTCCCGATACAGATATTTTACTAACCAGGAGTAATTAACGTAATGCATGGAACAAATGAGTCAGCAAAAATACGAGGTATCTATGAGAAACAACTGTCTGATTGAGACCTTAATATGTCACATCAATTCAATTTCAGATGCTTCTGAGTATTTACTTAGAATAGGAAATGAATATTTAGACGGAATCGACTTATTAGCTTACAAGCTGATAAAACTAACCTACTTACGTTCCCTAAGTTTTTAGGTTGCTAACTTCCAGAGTTTATCCTGGATCGTTTCCTTGATGAAAATGAGCAGACACTGTAACCCAAAACTTTAAACGTCATTAAAAAGTAATATGGGAGGATCAATTAATGGTCAAGTTTTGACGAACACTAAACTAAAAATGCATGCCCTTATTAGTCATCTGATATTCGGTAGTTTGAACAAAATACTGCTTATAATCACTCCTTGATCCCCTAAGTAGTTATTAGAGATAAATGATTGTTGCTTAGCAGCAGTGAAAAGTGACATTTGTTTTAATTCGATCAACCTGCACTATAACACCAATAACATTTGCATTCAACTACCAGACGATTATCGTCACTAATCTATCACAAATAGAAATGTTATAAAACTACCCTAGCACATTAAGTCAATTATCATCTTCCTATCAATTAGGTATTACTGAAAATCTTATTAGCCAAATGAATAAGGTTAAAGACCCCATACAACCCTCAATGGATCTTCGGATTTATGCGAATTTACACACTGTATATGTAGTTGGGCTTTTAAAATGTATTGCACAACAATATTGCAGTTCTTAAATTGACCTAGTATTCACATTGCACTATCCACAATTATGAAAGATAGTAACTTAGAAATGCACGTTTTTGAACGGTCTAAACGCATTGAACTAAACACGAATATTGTATGAAATAAAATGAAAACATAACCATGTTTCGGACTAAACGATTATATGGCTAACTACAAACAGTCCTTAATGCTAGTGAGGCTTTTTTGGGATGATAAAAAGCGGCAAGTTTGGAAAATACTCAGAACCAAAGACGACTGTAAGGGAAAACTCATAGTATGTTATCAGTAGTACGATTGTTATAAATATATGGATAATATTCACCTTTGGATCCATAATGTCTAATTCACGACCAAGAGACAAGAAGTGTTCTGATAACCTGGTATTCCAAAGCATTTCTGTCAAGTCCTCATCTGCTAAACATTCCTCATCTGGAAATACAATGTTCTGTCGACCAAGAAGATAGGCAAGTTGACGTTGGATAGCTGGCCCATAATTACGAGAACCTTTTTTAAGCTTCCCAGACTCCAAAAATATTTCGCGGATCAAATTCATGTCATTTAGACGTAAAGCACAACGCATAGCATTGCCCAAATCCTCGAATTTACGGTACAAAATAGTTGCGTACTGGAGTACCTGAGATAAGCGACATGAGAGGACAGATTTTAGAATCAAATCGTTAATTTTACAAACCTATATTGTGTTTAGCAGGGCAAAAATCCCCTTATGAAAAGTAACTACCCGAGTAACCAAAAACACGTCAGCCTAATAAAAGTGCTTCAAGATGAAAATACAATGATATACATATATTTAGCAAACGGATGAAGGCAAATCTTTTATATACATATGATGGTAAACTAAAACTTTTAGTGTTTGGAAAGCGTTGCTAGAAATTGAATATTTACCAAGCAGTGAAGTATTACGAATTACTATTTTACATATGAAGAACGACAAAGCTACAACACTTGGAACTAAAATATCCCACTTATTAGGCATATAGAAGCGTATTTACCATCAGATACAAGTACACCCTTATGACGAGTCCCAAACAGTACAAAACCTAGGTTCACTGTTCTCTATTGACTGCCCCAACCATCACCTTACACCTCAATATAGTGCACGTGATTTTGAGGCACCTAGACCAGTAGCCACATTGCAACTTAACATATAGAATTCGATTTGCACAAAGAAGGATCTGACATTGGTCCCAACCCCGTGATAAGCCAACTGTAAATGATCTTCTACCAGTCGATAAAAACATGACATCTTTAATAATGTCAGAAACAGCCTCGACTAAATATTCATACGGATCCAAATGTCGGTGAATAAAGTCATAAATGTGGGAATGAAACTTAAGATATCACATTTACACTTTTCGTTTGAGTTAAGAATTGTATGGATAGGGATAGTAAATGAGATGACATGCTGATATGAAGTCAATAAACGGCATTCACCCACCATGACTAAATTACATAATTAATGCGCGTATTGACATGAATAAAAAATAAAATTGATTGATAATAAACTTGTATGAATGTGAATGTCCACATAATGTGTGATGAATAAACTGGTAAACTAAAAGCTAAGTTTAGAAAAATACTTTAAATGAGAATTTCCACTTAACAGGAGTATAGCATCAGCAGAGTTCAAAGGGTGACTTGCGAAATCTGCCTAGAATTTGTTAACTTACCTTATTGTTATCTGGTGTAGGTAGATAAGCTACACAGCTCGTCAGATACAGACACACTCGAGTATAGTTTAGACTTGATGTATATATCTCTAGAAGATGGTGTTGTTCAATTTCGATACAAAGGTCAATTGCCTCAGCCTCTGCATTGTGCTCCATCAGATAGGGAATTATTTGGTGAACAAGAGAGAGACAGTCTTCTCGATCCTTTTTCATTTCTTTTGTGGCTAAAAAAGACTTATTCAAAATTACAGCAAATACCCTCGGGATTATCCATTAGTGAGTCGTATTCTTTTTCTTGCCAAGTACCAACGATTTGATTCGTTAAGTGGCGAACATACTCATGACCCCAAGCTCCGATATCACCCTGGCAACCAAGATGTCTGTAATTCAGTGTATCGTAACGCGTTTCAGGCTGATCAGTTACAGTCATGCCAAGAACGGATACGACATCAGCGCAAAGTTTCTGCAAATAAATAATTAAACTGTAAAACTCACTTTTGTATCTGCATTACATATAGTGTTGTAAAAAGATTTAATTTTGTCATAATGATGCATCAGGAATTTTAGAGGCTTGGGAACAGATGTCATCGACGTCGTAGAGGATTTTATCAATGCACACATGGACTCTAAAGCTGGCTTATGTAGTTGCTGGTTCGGCTCCTCAAGTCTGTCCACGAGCATATTAAGCTCATCCTGAAGCTGTTTGTCTTCCTCAGACTAAAAATAATGTTTGTGGGGACAGAAATGCTACCAAATCATCCTTAGAAGTCTCCTCCTTCTTTGGACCAGACTGGTCATCAACAGCTTTCATCGACGAGTCAGTCCCCATTATGACAACGGAAAATTGATGAATAATCCAGTAGCTTTAAAAATAGCGCGTCATCAGGTCATCAATGCTCAATACCTTAAATATAAGACGCTTGAATTATTTAGACGATAAAGAGACTTAATATGGTTCGCTTGACGTCCGTAGACTCTCATTCCAACACTTTATAAAGTTCCCGAAAAATCACGACATAGTATATCAATTTTTGTGCAATATCATGAAACTTAAATGTCATATGCCATGTTGAATTTATTTTAAATTGATTTTAGTGGTTTTGTCTGGGGCACAAAAACAATACTCCATTTTTAAGGACATATTTCTTGAAGCATTCTGACATCATTTTTATGAATAAGTAATCTGAAATGATCAGTGAAGAGGTAAATTCTCAGGAAATCTATGGCTTTGACGACAGTTGAAGTCACAGTAGCTAGGTGAGATTAAAATGGCTTTATGTGCTTACACATCTCATGGGTTTCAAATTCTAGTAGTCTCTCAATAGTTTCATGTCCATCCATTTCTGCTCAATGCCAAATATGCTGTCTAACCCAACGGCGTTTTTCCAGCTTGTTCGTTTTCTGAATATATTACCCGAGTTTTTCCGTAAAAATTGTTCTTCCATTCTTTTTTGTCCCGCCTATCTTCAGTAGTGAGCCTGTAGCTTGGTAATCTGATGACCGTTTTGTCAGTTCCTTCCTTGTTTTATCATCAGCACCAATGTATTCGCTTTAATTCGTAAAATTCCATAATTTTGTATGCACTGAAAAATACATTACCCCACAATATAGCCTTCAAAAATTTGGTCAGATAATATGAAAGCGTAGTTCCTAAATGTTGAAGCAGATTCTAGTAGCCATGATAAATGGATGAGACCCTAAAGAACTTGATGAGTGAGTCGAACGAACATGTGTTTATAACTGCACATCAAGAAACGTTTGTCACGTAAGTGTTGGAATTTAGTTTAGATAAGTGAGTGTTTGAAAACTGGTAAAAGTGAAGGGTCACTTTAAAACAGACATTTCATTAGTTAGTATGCAGCAGTAGCAAATAAGATGGCTACACAAAATGAAGAAGTAAAACTACTTTATACGTGCTTTTTAAATGTTTATAAGATGTTATCAGGTAATCCTTGATCATATAATTTTGGCTGATACAAGTGTAATATTACATATGCTTGTCGTGGAATTAGCCATGGGATGGGAAACTACTTTCACAAGAATAAATCAACCAGGCTAGTAATTTCCTGATGAAACGACTTTTAGATTACACACCAGTTAAATTGTAGCGTGATATCGAATCGCGCTTGATTATGAACACCGCTACAAGAAGACTACGTGCCAGTTAACCAATAAAATTTCAGTAGGCCAATATCAGAAGACAGATGATGGCTGTAGTCGAGATATATTTGCTCGAAGGAATACCGAGATCGTGCCAAAGGAGTACAAGTGGGATCGGCAGGAGAAAGTACTAGTGTATAGTTACAAACCGCGCAGAAGTAATGGAGTCCAATGGAAGGCCAATATGTCTGTCATTAGCATACTTTAACAAACGAGCACAGCAAAACAATCATGTGTACAATTGGTTATAATAATAATTGTTTTCATCGAACCAATCGCGTTCTGTTGACAAAAGTAGGTCACTATAAGATCACAATGAAGATGACACAGGTATTCGGAGTTTGACAACACTTTAACCAGTAACACCCAATATGAATCGTACCCACCAAGCGAAATCAAAAGACAGGAGCGAGGAGGTTCGAAGATATATTTGATAGGCTATCAATATATCGGGAATCGACCGATCTAATATGGCTAGCGATTGCAGGGGATGTTGAGCACATTGTTCCCACTCGTGAGCTGATGCGGATGCATTATCGAGCGCCTTCAGCTAGGTGTGTCCATCGGAACTAATGTGGTCAGCATCCAATGTCGAAAACTTACAGAGCTATTTATTTTGGGGATTTATTTCCCGCTACAATTCGTTCGAACATTTCCTTGGTGAGAATCACCTGACCTTGAAAATTCATACCAGAGGCCACAATAATAACTTCGCTTAAAAAATCTGTCAAAAGAATTTCCGGGGTTAACTTTAGTTCCATATGTATAGAAAATGATCACACCAGATGCTAGTAAATGATCTCTTCTCCTAACAACCACAATCAAGAAAAGACATATAGACAGCGATTATTCTCCATTGTTGATAAAGTTCTTCTACAATCAAGTCACAGAACCTAAGTAACAATTAACACGCTAATTTTCATCTTCAATTTTTGGATTTTGAGTTTTGAGCGCGCATTTTATGAACTGGTAGAACATTGAAGGTAAAACAAACTAATCTCTTGAATCGCTTCATTACACATTGGCCTTTGATTTATCCGTGTTCACTACAAACGTGTGTAAGTTTAAGATTATCTGGTTTTCATGGGGTGACTCACTGTTACGATAGTCCAGTTTCCTGGGGTCGTTTGTTAGCCAAATCTGTTAAATCCATAAAATCGGGGATCACCTAACAAAATCAAGGTTCTTGAACGTGGAGCTCAGTTAGAAAATATTGGTTGGATGTTAGAGAAGCCTATCTCTAAGTTCGATTACACTAACTGAAATGTTGCTTTACTGATTCCTGTTATATGGTCCTAAATGTATATACATTTAGGACCACATAATAGGAATGCATTCGTTAGATTGTTTGTAAATGTTGAAGATGATGTGACATGGTGTTTCTATCACACAAATTTTGGTGTGGACTGTAACTCATGCTATAAACTCGGGTGTTATTCGGTCTTAAATTACAGCCTAGCTTGAATGGGATTCGAAAATATTTTGTACACTAACTAGCGCACCTACTACCTTTCCAACAACTTATGTAATTGATAATTATCATTGTCAGAAGGGGTTTTGTGGGGAGGAGAAGTCCCACAATAGCACGAAACGGCCGTCCAGTGCTTCCAGGTTTTCCATAGTGGTCTAGCTTCAACTGACTCATGATCTTAACCATTGAAATTATCATTGTAGTTATATTAGTTTTAACAGTAAATTTTGATGTTGTTATTGAGTATCAGGTAGTTGCTGGAAATCGTGTGACTTGTTCCATATAATTAGTTAAATATTTAGCAACCGTAGTGCTTTTTGAAAAGAATCCGCGCTTCTTGTTAGTGTCTTCCATGTGAATAGTGTGCATTTGACAATGCCAAGGACTGGGTTATAGAAAGATATGCTAGTACACTTCATTTTATCAGGTTTGTGGTTTTCCTGAGATTTACAAACGGGCTTTCAATAATTTTAATGTGCATTATCTGTCAGGTATGTACCCAGTGCTAATAATCTATTGACCAATTAGGAGGGTGCTCATTCTTGATTAGGCCATCATTTCTGAATTATCATAAATCTGTTTAGATAAAAGGACGGGTTATTGGTTGTGAGTCGCATGCCGAATAGGTTAAAAAAGAATCATTTCCTATGAGAACTAGAAAGGCAGACATGAAGTTTGTGTGTTAATTTTTATTGATGATAGGTGTGATGTATGTATTCTTTGTGGATTACGTTGTTGATTTCTGCCAGTAGTTTGTGATACAGTTCACAAGAACGAAACGGTGTTATCTATCAAAGCAGTTTACTGGTGGCTTAAGGAAACAAATAGCTTATGCCACATTCAGAGCTTGAAAAAACCACCAGATGATTAATAACCTACAGAAATTAATCATACGTTCTAACTTGAGTACCCTCATAAGCTCAGGAATATTGTTATGATATTGTTATGATGTCACGTAAAATGTATGAGAATAAATACAGCATTTACCACAGTTATTTTACGAACCCTTCAGGCATTACTGCAGGCTATTCATCCATAACGTACAACTCAACAGGGATGTGTGTTGATCCAAGTTGCAATACATCGGTACTGCAAGGATTTATTGAAAAAGATAGTACCAAACTGGGTTTTACATAAAACAAGCGCTTACTCCACTCTTAAATCATTTAGGGTCTGTTATTTAAGTATGTCGACTAATCACTGTGACTTACATCACAATTACTCCTATTATACGTCATATCTGAAGACGAATCCATTGACAGGATCAGTTGCTTAGTTTCAAAGGATTATAAAAGTTATGGTTAAGTTCATTTATAAGTTAAGAGACTGGAAAGCAGGTTAACATCTACCCGCACTAGCTCATTATATTTGTTCACTGTAATCTTAGCTGAACAAAGCTTTCAGTACCCTTCATTTTAACTGCTCTACAATCGCGTTTTTGTTTAGTTTTGTTTCAGATTGTAGTCGTCCTGTTTTGTGCTCTTAATTTGTGTTTCTTTCAAAAACACCCTTTTGGAAATATTACTTTTTGTCTTGGTGATTATTGAAAAAATCACGAACAAAATAAAGGAGGGAATTATTGTAACGCTAAAAACGGCAGGAGAATTTAGATATCTTTTTTTAATCGGAAAAGTGTCAGTTTGATCCACGATAACTGCTCAGTTCGGTTAACTGTCAGTGCAGTTGAAGCCTAACTTTATCTGGTCGGGACATTCATTCATACGACCACTCTAGCCAGCTGATCAGTTTGTACTTTACGGCGCTTCAATCCTGAAAATGGCCGGCGAAGACAGTAAGACACTTGTAAATAAAGAATTTCTTACAGGCGTTGTTGAAGGTATGTTGTACATTATCTTCTATCTAATTTACACTTAGGGTTTTATGGTCGACCTTGGACATATCCTCAACGGAAAGAACTGTTTCGGAGAATGAATCAAATGGGAATGAATGCTTATCTATATGCTCCTAAGGATGATATAAAACACAGACAGTCATGGAGGGATTTGTACACTCCAGAGGAAGAGCAGCAACTTCAGTTTTTGATCACTGAGTCCACTGAAGCTGGAGTACTTTTTATTTTTGCTATATCACCGGGCTTAGATGTAACTTTCTCTAGTGCTAAAGAAGTAGATATTTTAAAGAAAAAAGTTGATCAGGTAAGCATATACACAGTTGGTTTATTTATAAAGATTGAGTGCCTTCAAAATGTAATCCGAACACAGAATCATGGTTTTTCACTAATTACAGAAAATTTAATCAATCTTGGCACTTAGATACTCAAGGCGGTGTAATTAAAGCTATTTATTCTGACAAGTAGACTTCGGTAGCGTTTAGGACACTTTTAAGGCCATTGCCTCAGATATTTAGTGTTTCTCTACCCCACCTATTTTCATCTAGATGGGTGGATGACTTGTCCAACTCCTCAATAACTGGTTCCAAAGCTCATCGTATCAATCTGTACATGATAATTAAGTCGCAAAATAGTTTGTTAACCAATATCTTTAAATGACTTATCGGAGATCTTGCGCTTTCTGTTTTGTGTTATCAAAGACGTCTCTTTAGAGTGGTTATTACTAACATCTCAGTGATTCCCTTAACTATTGACTGCTCTTACGAATGCGACTTGCACTGTAGCTGCGATGTTTATCTGCTTTCTTAAAATGTGCGTACAACTTCATATTCATTTTAATCTGCTGAATGATCACCAGGGGATCTTTTACAAAAATATGGTTCCAGTTATCTTTTTTCGTTCCTTAAATATTAATCTATGTTAAAGTTATTATTATTTTATTATTATTTATTTTAACACATAGATATTGGTACAAGGAGGCACCAAATTCATATGCGCCACACAGATCTCATTTGATAAGTGTGAGGGCTGTGATACTGTCCGGGTGCCCAAACCGAAGCAGGTGGTTTCCTTAGGGGGCCACACCCCGAGCCTTCGACCTGAACGTCTGACCCACAAGGCAGTGGAGCATCGTAAGGAGATACATTCCCATAGTAGCCGGTGACCAACGATTGGTTCACACGCCATTTGTTCCTTCAGGATACTGGAGCCCATGTGCACCATTGGTTTGGGATCCGGCTATAGCGCCGGACATTCACTTTTCGTCCTCTCATTTTCGTAAACAACACCCCTTCCACGAAAAGGCAGTGAGTAGGATTTCCCTGGCAGAGGCCATATACGCGTGGCCATGTGAGAGCATTTTGAGAGGGAGAGCGGACTCTCCCCACTCTCGGCCGTACCAGGGCATTTGGGGGCACTATGTTAAAGACATCAGAGCTAATCAGTGATAGAAAATATTAAACACTAGTCAGAGCTATCCTGTTTTCTAAAATCTACAAACTTTAGTGTTACTTTTATCCCTTTCTCACGGGTTCTCTAGTTCGTTTTGCTAGCAAATTATACTATGTAAATACTACAGCTTCAAACCCTTTATATATATGTACTCACTATGAGTTTCATTAAAATTTGCTGGTTATCCCTAAAAATTGTCTCTTGCTAATTTGATCAAGCGCGCTAAGACATATGCACATTCTAGAATCGTAGTATTATTTGCTGATAGTTTATCTCTATTACTGTCTTCTGAATCGTTCGTTCTTAATTTCTACAAACTTTGATAATAAGCATGTAAATTGTCTGAAGTGATGGTCAAGATTTCTAGCTCAGATGGATGCTTTTTTAGTGTTTCACTTTCTTAATTGGGTAGCTTTCATTGTTGCGATCGACATTATCATTGCTTTTTATTATTAGTCCTACTACTTATTCCTAATTATTAAAGGCTCACTTCTGTGTGAATTAGGCACTGATAATGTTGTCTAGAACGACAATGAAAGCATGAGAGTCTGGTCATCCAGGTTAAAAAATAAAACACCACCATATCTGTTAATCAACTGCTTTTGTCGGTACTAAACTTCAGTGAGTCATGTTTGTGTCTATCTATTGTGTAGACTTTTCAAAAATGATGACTGGTCTTTAGCTATGTGCTTGAACTCTTGATGGAGGTTTGTGGGATGATCATGAAGTATGGTTAGGGGTTTCAGATAACGCGACGAAATAGGTCACAGTGGCCTAGATGTAATTGTTTTTTGCTTTACTTTAGTTATTGAGCAAAGTAATATTTAACACTTCTGGATTTCCAGATTTCATGGGACTGATATTTCTTATATATAGTTTTCCACAGCAATTACTATTTCAAATCCCTTGCTTTTTGTTCTGCTAATTCTTCTTTACTGTATCGTGGCTTTTGCTAAATCTTATTCTTACCAGATCGTTGGCTGTGTTTTAGATGATTGTCAGTAACGTTTTAGGTTTGTTTTGATAACCCGTATATATGCATCATGTATAATATCAATGTTCTAGGTTTCAAAACTTGGTTGTCGTGCATTTGCCCTTCTTTTTGATGATATTGAACCGCGCCTATGTCCTGCAGATCGAGAGGTATTTAACTCATCAGCTCGTGCTCAGGTTATGTTCGCGAATGAAATTTACAATCATTTAGGATGTCCAGATGTCTTTTTATTCTGTCCAACGGAGTACAGTGCAAGTTTAGCAGTACCTAATATTAATAAATCAGAATATCTAGCGACAGTAGCTTCCTGTCTAGCACCAGGTAATATATTTGTAACTTGCTCTTTTCTAATATTTCGTCTTATTAATTCATGTTTCTTATTTACATCTATTATCGTTACTGTTTATCGTTTCTAGTTTAAGCTTATTTCACCAGAGAGTGAATGAACATTGGTTGCAGTCACAAGACGTCATTACATGTTAGATAATGTCTCTTTGAGTTTTGGTAAGCGTCCCTCATGTAAACACTGGATTTCCTCAGAATTTTTAACGCTTTTTGGCCCTTGTCGGTTTATTCTGGAAAACCAGGAGTTCAGAAGTCAGCCTAGGTAAAGATAAAAACCTATTAGTCGTAGAGTGCTACAGAACTGGAATCAGTGGATCTATCTGTTGCCCAATAAACTCAGGATAGTCGCAACATAAACGTCGTGTCAGTAAAACAGTTTGTGGTTGACGGTGTAACAATTAGTAATCTTCAAAGACGTGCTGAACGACTGTGTAGGGTGCTTCAACGGACAATTCGATTGATTTATTGCCCCAGAAACTTTGATCAGATTTGTCTAATGTTTCAAATGCATGATTTTGTCAGAAATTTAATCATTGACCCTAAATATTCAGATGAAATTGTGTTTGATCAAGATGCTGACGAAACAGTCTTATAAATACTTTGAGTAATAACGTAATAATTTTTTAAATTAGTTTTTATCCCAACTGTGAAATGTTATCTCAGGGCTGATTTGCGTCAGTACCTATTTTAATCATATGAAGTAAACTAGTGGAGTGTATTGAAAATTACCCTTAGTGATTTAGTAGCTGATTTGATCTGAGCACGAAATTAAAGTGCTCGATTGGCTTTTACGCATTTGGACTATATATGGCGTTGGCAAGCTATCTGTTTATCTATTAAAACGTCCGCTGTGTTTTACTTTGTGATTGTAATTTTGTTGATTATTTCTTGCTTTTTCTGTAAATTCATTTAAATTCTCACCAAAAATTTGAATATATGATTGTATATGCAGTATTTGGATTAAAAGTTTCATTAAAATTGATAATTTTATTGAATCTTGTTTGTTTTATATTTTTGCTTATCTAAAATTCTATTCCGAATATATTCAATATATTTGCGTTTGGAAGTACTTTGATATTCAAACTTAGTATAGATGTACAGTTTTATTTGCAAAATTGTTTTCTTCACCTTTCCGGTAATTTATTGTAGATATCAGTCAGTCAGTCAGTCAGTTACAACGTAGGACCAGGCACATATATGCATCGGTCCAAGCTGTCACATCTCATTGTGTATAGGAATATAGTACAGGAAGAAAAAATTAGTTAGTAGAAAGGAATGTATAAAGCCATTTTAATCTCATAATTTAAGGGAAGACAAAGAGAGTATACACCGACGCCATTGTGATTAATTCTGAGCCATGTCACCCAGAGTCTCCAACCACTGGTTGCGACAGTCACGTGGACCCCATCAAAGTACTCTGCATCTATCAACATGGTCCAGGCTAAAAGTTGATGACTTCAAGGACTGGTGCCGCGTTTTGGTTTGGCCGCCCCTAAGTTTCTTCCAACCGTTTCCCACTAGTCAGCATTGTACGTCGTGGTAATCGGTGTTCAGGCATACGTAACACGGCCCAACCATCTCAGTCGATGAAGATTCACAACCTTATCAATTGATTTGTCATCATTCCCTAATACCCTGCGTCTAACCTCACCATTACTTGCTCAGTGATCCCATCGGTTGCGAGCAATATTTCTAAGGCACCTGTGGTCGAATACTAGTAACGTACGAGTATCTTCTACTTTTAAAGGCCGTTTCGCAGCCGTATAGTACAACGGAACGAACTGTCGCGCAGTATACTCGTCCCTTAATTGATAGACTGATATCTCGCCTTCATCATAGGTGATGTAAGTTGGCAAAAGCCAAACGAGCTTTTCGAATCCGTGCTGAGATTTCGTCAGACACCAACCTATTGGGGCTGATCAGACTTCCAAGATAAGTGAAGTTGTCAACGCGTTCGACTACTTCACTTCCTATCCTTAGTTCAGGTGTTGACTCAAACCAGTCCTGGAGTAACTTGCATTGGGAGGGGGGGAGAAGAGTATCCCTGACATTCTGGCATTGTTGCTCAGTGCTACCAGAAGACTCCATTTTATCAGCGTCTTCACCAAACAGGAATATATCGTCTACGTATTCTAAGTCGATAAGTGGACCTCCTGGTAGGAGATCAATGTCCGGAAATTCAGTCGATGAGAGCGTTATTTCCATCAGTAGATCTATGATGAAGTTAAACAAAAATGGAGAAAGTGGACAGCCTTGACGGACACCACTTGAGGTTACAAAATCAGGTGATAGATCGCCATAAGCTGTGTTTCGACTAGTAGTGTTCGAGTAAAGAGCCCGCACAAGGTTTATGTACTTCTGTGGTACGCCTTTCAATGACAGATACTGCCACAGAATCTCGCGGTCTACAGAGTCAAATGCTGCTTTTAAGTTAAGAAAAACTATCATTGTTTAGCTTTCTGTAAAAGTCATCTTCCATTCCATTCGAGCCTCAGTCAGTGGGAGCGTAGGCAGAAACGACGAGAAAGCAACGATGTTTGTCCCTATCCTTCCGAGTTCTTACGGAGCTGTTTAGCCGAACAGCACAGAGGCGACTGTTATTGTAGATGACAGTGAAAGTTAGGTATTATTGTTTGTCTGAATTTTACAACTATTTAGAAAAAGCAACTATGGTTTGACAGTATGTCTTCGATATAAAAATATGGGAAAAATAACATTCTTATATTTGTAGTTAGTAAATTCTCAAAGTTAATGTTTTTTTCTTTTAATTAATGCCTAAAAATTAACTTAAGGTATTGCTGTAATCTGGACTGGTCCGCTTGTAGTATCTAAACGAATTTTAACTAAGGAGCTGAAGGAACTATCTACTTTACTACAACATCCTATCGTTTTATGGGACAATCTACATGCCAATGATTATGACCAGCGTCGCGTATTTATAGGACCATACAGTGGTCGACCCCTAGCTTTACGTCGCAAAGGCTTGCTTAGAGGAGTGCTGACCAATCCGAATTGTGAATTTGAAGCAAACTATGTGGCGTTTCATACTCTTGCACAATGGTCGAGGTAAATTGTAATTTGCTTTTTGTAATTTATCTTCATTTCCTTGTATTATAACAGTTGTATGTATCTCAATAATTTAAACAGTAAACTACCATTTACACAGTCACGTATCAAGATTTGGACTGTTGTTACTTGATCAAAAGATCAAATTTAAGAAAAAGATATTCATTTTCAAATGTGCTTATTAATTCCCAGTATTAGCGCAGCTGTTTTCTTAAATTTTGTGTTGAGTGTAATTCACATAGAACGCACTCCTGACTTTTACTTGAATTTTAATGTAAAAGTTGATTATCTCGGCTTGACTTTTGCTGATATATCACTGAAATGCACATCCTGCTTGTTCTCGATATCCTTACGTTCGTTTCTATATAGAAGGCGGTTGTACTGTTTTTAAACGTAAAGAAGAACTGAAAGGTTACATATTACCGATCACATGGTTTTTTTCGTAGTCTGTTTTAATCAGGCAATATTAAAAGTAAATGCTATTCACTTTTTAATCTAGACAAGCTGGTAGCAAACATATAATACAATCAACTGATACAGAAATGCTATGTACAAGTGAGGATTTTGAATCTAATGCTTCTGATGATAACGAAGTGATTGATGATTGTATCGATGATCAAAAGTCAGGTGATATTAATGAACACCCGCCTGTCTGCCAGGATGACTGTGTAAATAAAAAACGGCAATATGCATCTGTTTACAGACCTCGTGAGGCTCTCCGTATAGCTTTGCGAGACTGGCTTGCATTAATGCTTCAGGTAAGTTTGTGTGCACACTTTCTCCTGTATAATTTTTCTGAGTTTTGCCTCAGATGTAATGCTAATTTGATCTTTACAATACACCAGACTGTTGTTTAGAGTTTATATACCTACTCAGTGTCACTAGTCTTTGCACATTAGGTGCGACTTGCAGTCTAATTCACTAAACTTCACGTAGTTATTTTTGCATGTAATCTCTCACAGTTTGTTTGTGTATCAGTTAATGTCTTTTATCCATTGCAACTTTGATGCATTAATTGAAAAGTTATTTTAGTGCTCATCGAAATTTTATTCACTTCATACTCATACTTTTCACTTTATGAACTTCGTGATCGAATTCAGGTACGTTTATGTTATAACTTATGGCCTTGTACCCCTATCCATATATGACGTCATGATACCGCCAATTAGAGGACTGTGATTTATCGACCGGACCAATGACGCATGTAATCCGTACGAGCAGTTTAGAGCCTTTATCGGTCCTTCTTCCTGCCTAGCCCTGACTGTTAAGTCCAGAACATCAATCTCAGCCTCCGTGATATAAATCATGTATTTCGAGCATATTGGGTTCATATACAAACCAAACAGACTACATCGTGCCATAAAATAAGAAATAACATTTGTACAAGATCTAGCCAAAAGTGGCTGTGAATATGGGAGGCTGTAATTAATATACTGAGCATAACTCAAGAACGGTAAACCGTATAATAATAGTCTGTGTCAAAATAAAGCTTATAATAAAAGGAACATGAATATGCATAATTTAGCTACTTAATAACTATACAATAAAAATAAATCTATCGTATTGGTTTATAAATATTTTCGAATAAATTGAGCATTGGGTTGATTGTTATAAATAAATAATATATTTGTAATATCCCAATGAGTAGAAAATTAGATTTTCTGACGTTTCGTGGCTTAGTGTAAGTCACTTCTTCAGAGAATAAATAAAAAAAAAGAAGTGACTTACACTAAGCCACGAAACGTCAGAAAATCTAATTTTCTACTCATTGGGATATTACAAATATATTATTTATTTATGGTTTATAAATAGTTCTCAAAAGTTACCATTCATAACTCTCGTCGCGATATAACGGTTTACCGATTGCAAACTGGACAATGACCACTGTTTGAAGGTACTAACAACTGGTTTTTGTTAGATTACTTACTTACACTTGTCTCCATAAACGACGTGTCTGAGTTTCGGAGGGTGAAGCTCGACTTGCTACACTTCATCAATAAAGAACTTTGTTCGAGATTAATGAAATGCTTGGTAACTTCACATAATTTGAAGTACTAGTAATATGTAGTCGGCTGTTTTCGAACTTCAATTATTGTAAATTCTGGTCAATTTGTTAGTTTTGATAAACAGAAATTCTGACGTCAATTTATATATCATCATTAGTGCGTCCTTGCAAACAGTATCTTGTTCTTAAACTTTTTAATCGTAAACCGATGTGGGATTTAACTTACACACGTACAATAGTAGGTTTAATATTACACATGTTTAGGATTACCGATAAGTTTCCAGAGCGTTTCTTGTCATCTAACTTTTGATACTGTTTTTTAGCTCTGTTGATACTTTTAATGCTTTTTTTACCACCGTCTTCAATTACTAAGGTATAACTCCAAATTTTCATTTAAAGGTCGGTGCTTCAAAACCCAGCACGGCTATAGGTACTCCTACACCTATGGATACAGATAATCTTGAAACTGGTCAAAACGAAGCTCCCATGCAGGTAAATTGAACGTTATCAATTGGTTATTTTTCTTTGAAAATATCTTAATTCAAATACATTATCTTGAAATATCATGTGGTGCTTTTCCGGTTTTCTTGGTTACATTATCTTGCTTTAATCACTATAACATAAAAAAAAGTTTCTTTCATATGTACAGGTTACAAAATTACTGTATCTCCCTCTTATCTTTCAGAAATTCTACCATTGTTCATCAACTTACAGGTTTCTGAAATCTTTTCTGTTACTCAGCGAAAATTCGGAACATTATATAGACTCCCATACGGCCCAGTGTTTTTGGTCTGTATGTATCAAAACAGTCTCCCAATAAGCACTGAAAAAGTACTCAAAAGTTTTGAGATATATCAGTGTTATTTCTTTATTTTTAGCTGGTAATAAGTAAGAGCATCTTGACTAGTTCTAAAACTTGCATATCTTTACAAGAGTTAATCATTTACACTTGGCTGATTCAGTCGATCTAGTTGCTCATTTCTTCTTATCTGTATTTTCTGTTTGAAATACACTTGTATATGTAGATTATGGATTATGATGTCATCGCGCTTTACTTCACAGTACTGGATATAGCTTATGCTTTAGATTTATTTAGCACGGTGGTATACGATGTAAGAATTCAAGTGAGTACTAACTAGTAGTTACGATAGTTTGTGGAGTATCAAAGATGATGTTACACTTTGATGAATGAACATAAATATATTAATACCAAATGATCATGAGTTCAATGATGTCTGTTGATTTTGAACAATAGTTACAGTCTTCTAACTAATTAAATAAAAGATCAAAACTATTTTTAACAACTTTTTTCCTTTCATGGATTGTCATTTTTTACTAAGAATATATGCAACTTGCCATATGAATGAGAGCTTCTGATTCTTGTTAAGACTATAAACTTTGTTTCATAGTATAACTTAGTTTAGTTGATTTGTGCAGTTCAAAGTGATCCGACTTCGGTTCGGTTTGAACGAGTAACATAATGTAATGCGGATACTTATGAAAGTTAGCGAAGATTCATATCTCGTATCTTAGAAAGCTGTAAGCTGTGTTTGTCGAATTTGCCGTCTTATTTCCGTGAATTTATCTCCTCTATGTGCATTTACCAGTTTCAATGGTCATGTGAAAATGGTTACAGTAGACGTGTAATGAACGAACATGTAGGTGGGGGCAACCAATGTATTTTAATACAAAATTACACAGTATCTTGGTAAAATATAAGATCCATACATAAAATACTTCATTTGCAGATATTTCATCAATTGTTCTTTACAATTTCTATGATTAGTTTAATTTACAATTTATTCCTATTTCCATTTCTGTTTTCTTCAATTCGATCTTCTTATCTTTCTGTTGCCGTGCGTTTCACTTCTGACTGGTGTTACATACTACTTATGTCGACAGACATAAGTAGCATGTACCACACTCGTACCCCCTTTAAAAAATGGTCGTTCTTGCGGTTTTTTTACTCGCTGTACCACTTCTTTACTGCAGTCTGTGCCACACTGACTTTCGTAACTCTATCAACATAAGTAACACACACCACAGACGTAGAGTTAGATAAACCAGTCTCCGAATTTCTTGACAATATCCATCTTGAAGGAGACAAAAGACTAATATCACATATGCTGTTCATATCATTTTGGTTGTATTTGTCCAACTAGTCTCATGCAAGCGATTAACCAGGATCATCCATCGATTTTAACGTTGTGTTTTATATTGTATTATTAAGTTAAACAGTGATACCACTGTCATATAATGTTTTCCAATAAGATGTTTTCAAATCTGTACAGGTATTCATTGCCGTGTAAATTCCACGTAATATTTACTTTAATTGATAATTATTAGGTTGAATCCACTCCTTCCAATGTGGTCATGACTTCTGACAATAATTCTTCTGAAACACCAATTTCAGGTTAGTCAATGAAATTTGTTGACAATGTAAAGCGTATATTACCAATACAACGTAAATATTTGTTTACAATTGATTTAGACTCAACATTATAACAGTTCAAATAGTTTTATTAATTGTTAGTTTATTCACTTAATTAACAGTTCTCGAATATTTATTATGAATAATAATATGATAAAGAGAGTAAAATCATGTTCTCGTTATCTTTTGAGTGTTATAACTCAATCTGTAAAGTAATTGAGGCCGTAGTCCAGATGGAGCTGGTTCAAATATTCCCATGACCCAGGATTTCTAAGATAATTTTAATTATCACCTGTGTATATAATTAGCACCTAATGGAAACGGAGGTTGTACTGAAATACCATTGAATATCCACATTTTTATTTTGTGAAGAAAGTTACCACAAATTTACGGTTTCCGATCTTTAACATGACGAATCTCCGTTGCGAAAATCAAATCATTCAGTTATCACAGGAAACTTATTCGATCAGTAACTGGTGTAATTCACTAGCCAAGTATAGATCAGTGTACTTAAATCTAAATAATTGTATGGATTTAGCTACCTCTAAGCTGAAGTAAATGAAACAGATGTGTTAAGCCTACGACCACCAATTGTTGAAAATCAAGCCCTTTAACTATCGAGATATCGCTCTAATTAGAAATGATGTTGTGTCTTAATTGTCTCACAGCAGTAACCTAAATCGATTTACATTGGTTGGTGAAATGTTATTTAACCAGACTATTGTATACCTTATGTCCTTGGTCAGGTTATTGAAATAAATCACATAGAGAAAGTAAATTGATTGTCAAATAAATCTGAGTCACCCATACAGTACGGTCTCAGTTAATCAAACCAGTCGAGTGTTTATCTAACCACGTGATTACAACCTCGGTTGTAACATTACTGTTTTTTTCTAACAAATCATTGAATTCAAACTTATGTATAATACGAATAACTAATTCAAGTTTTTACGTAGTGTATTCTAAATTCCTAATTATTCTCTGGTACTAGTCAAGCATGAATCATGTCATCGTGGTACTAAAAAATTATGTATTCGCTGCATGTCTTACATTGTTTCGCATCATTAGACAAAGGGAAGTAATCACGATAGGAATAGCTTGTCTTTATTTCCCCCATAATAATAATAATAATAATAATAATAATAATAATCATTATTATTATTATTATTATTATTATTATAGTAGTAGTAGTATTGTTAGTTTGCTTGTGGTTATTGTACAGTGCAGTCACTTGTTATAATCTCAGCTGACATGTAATCGAAATTATATTAGCGTAAATACAGACTGATATATGTAAACTCTACTGACAAGAATTCATGAACAAACTCATCTAAAACTTGCAATTTTATTAATTTATTTTCCGCCAAATTATTATTATTATTATTATTATTATTATTATTATTATTATTATTATTATTATTATTATTATTATTATTATTATTATTACTTTAGACATGTATCCCTTCTTAAATATGCGCTCTTATAGGTGATGTAAATTCAGTTGCTGTTACCTTAGAGGATTTGGAAATGTTTGCTGATCTTTTCTATTTACCTTTCTCTCATGGACCCTCAGCTATTCGTCTACTAGAATTAGGACATTGGTTACGCGAATATTCGTATGTTTGTGGACCTAACCCATCTGATCTTGAGGTAATAGTCATCAATTATGAAGATCAGTGTGAAGATATCTTTTTGTTCTGAAAGTATTGCTTTCATATTATACAACATGAAGAAGCATTCCATTAATGTTCATCTTACATGAGTACAATCAGCTTTATTTCTTGTTAATCACAAGTGGTAAATCAGCATGTTTCCACCTTTTATTCTAAATAATCAAACGTTGAATTAACTAATTGAAATGTGATGATCTTCATTTTATACGTTAATAATATCTCTCATTTATTTGGCCATTCGAACTTTTTTTGTCTGAACGACCGAACCGTTTTAAAATCCGTGTAATTTATTTTCCAATCATCTTGGTTTTATTCTTTTCGCCTTCAGGTTTAAGAATTTTATATCATCCTATATAATATCTGACATTTTAATATTATAAAGTCATGGCGACTTGATAATACGATATCTTTCCCCTTTTTCAGGTCGCGTTAGTAGAACTTCGTCTCCTTTTGTCTCGTTAAGTTACTTACTTACGTTCGTTGTACTTCGTGGAGGAGCATATGTCTCTTAGGACGATCTTTCCTTAGATCATGCACATCTGTCGACTTTGTTTCGAAAAACTGGAGGATATTACGATGGAATTGATCAAATGATGTGGAATTATACTTGTAACTCTAAAAATAACGAATGTAAATTCTTCAGGTTTGTAAATGCGGGTAGTTCACAGTTGTAGAGCTAATTACAGAATTTGATGTTATTAATACCATCAGCAACTTATGTGTTTATGTGGTTTCTCATTTAAAATAATCCTAAAATCAGTAGTTGGAAACGTTAAGTCGCTTAGCTCAGAGCAGATCACAGTGGCACATATACATGCACCCTTTATCTTTATTTAGATCTTCAGTTTCAGTATTTCTTCATATATATTTTTTCAATCAGTCTTTTTGAACCACATTCTAAATATTTAGCCTTTCGCACTATCATTACTACTACAAATATTTCAACGCATTCTCTATTAATCCTTTTAATTCCATCTAGTCAATACTGATGTGGTATGGAGAATTGAACTAACTTACATTTGTATCAAACTCTATTGATTATGACTGGTTGACTAATTAAAAATCAACAAAATATCATGGTAGTTTCTTTTTTCATTTATTTTTTACTTTTAGAAAGCAACGGAATGGAACAAAAAGTTATCAGATTATATAGATATGGTTTCTACAATTGGTCGAATACGAGATCGTATACAACGTTTACCATCTAAGAGCATCTCCTATGAACTAGTACCATATATAACTGAAGTTCATAGTGTGGTTGGAATTATCCTGGATTATTTCCGATGGTTAGGTAAGCCTTACGCTAATATTGTATATATATGATCTGTGTGTTGAACAATTATATCAACGGTCTGTTCAAACAACACTAGTCAGAGTACTTTCCAAATTTACAACCAGGGAGTTAAAGTGTTCCTCTTCGTTTATTGTTATGTAAAAACATTCGGAACATATATATCCAACCATAATCCATATTCAACATAATCGTAGAATGAACAGTAATGTTTTTGGTGGAATGTCTTCTCTATTTGTATTAGTCTGAAATTATGACCATAATAAAACTGATCGCAAGTTAATTCCCGTTTATATTCCCACAAACCTATCAGTTGTGACAGTAAAAACTTTTCTAGTGATTGCTTCGAATTGTACTTGTTAGTTTACTTCATTAGTATAACCTTTCCAAGTCTCCATATATAGTTTGGTTATTCTTCTGAGGTATATTACTGCTCTGAACATTTTAAGGAGAATATTGTCTCTGCCCTTCAGTTCATTCATAAGTTCTATTCAATGAAACGACCAAAGTTTTTGGTGTTTGTTCTCTGAGCTAGATGGTTTAGTCATGGAGCTTTCATCGTTACTCCGAATGACATCATCAGCACAAACTTCAGGTAGATGTAAAGTTTTCTTGCAATATTGTTCCATCTATTAACCTGAGTTCCCAGATATTCAGCATAACTAGTGTTTTTCTTAATATTTTACAGAAACTGGAGTCATGGCTTTTCGTAGCATGTCTCATTTAAAGCGGCTTTTAACATGTAAGTTTTTATAGCTTTGTTACTGTTTATACATATTAAATGCCAGTAGTTTAGTAATTAACACAAGGTTTTCTTGAACCTGATCCCGTATAGGATTGCACCGTTGTGAAATCCTAGACTATCATCAAAGGTTTATTTATTACTTTCTACTTGCCTTTAATTCTCAGTTTGATTAAACATCATGATCTAAATTATCTTAGAAAAAACTTATCACTTATTGTTGTGATTGTAGCCAATAGTGGCTGATATATACATGATTACGCATGAAAATGGGGAACGTGTTATTGATTTACAGTAGCTTAGGCTTCAAACTAGAGGACAGCTGTTTATTATTAGTTTCAAGGGTAAACTATGGTGGAAATCATTTGTTAGAGAAGGGAAGCGTCTTGAAAGAGCCCGTTTTGTTTCTAAGTATCTGTCTTCTGCTTAAGTCAAAGTGGGGTAGTTTGCGTAATTCCTATGTACCAACTCTAGACTTGACATCATTTTAATGTAAACACTCGGTGTGTGCATTATTTTAAGCTTCCATGACAATAGTGCTGTTCGGTGTATGGCTGTTTGTATGCTCTTTACGGATCAATATTTTATCCTAATTCATTTTGTATTTCTTGAGAATTAAAAGAATTTGCGTTATTTTTATTTAAAATCTTCCTTTTTTTTAAATTTTAGGGTTTTCTCCTGGTTACCGTGATATGGTAACATCTGGTGATCAGGAACCATGGACATTTCGTGGTGGATTGATAACAGAACTTCAAGTAAATGAAATTATACTTTTCAGTTAGCTTTCATTCAGTTGCGTGGTTGGAATTAGTTGACAAGAAACTCTGGATTTAGACTTTATACTAGTTAGCACCCGTCACCAAGGGGTTATTATTTATTTATTATATTTATTCGAACACATAAATATTGGTACAAACGGGCACCAAATATATATGCACCACATAAAACAATCGGAATTTAAAGAGAAGGGGAAAAAGAAAGGAGGGTAAGGAGCGTAAAAAAAAGAACAATAACGAACAGATTAGTGTAAGGTAGTGAAATAGTAGTAATAATGGGGGAAAAGAAAAGGTGCAATTAGAAGAAATCTTTATGTTAAGGAAGGAGCAACCACTCTATACGAAGAAAGTAAAAGAAGGTTACAGCAGGACCCCAGCCAGGGAGTCGTGAAGGTCCAACACAAGCCAGCCCTTTGCAGCTTTCTTTCATACCACGACACCATCTCATATACTGACCACCTCTCCGCTTTTTCCAACCAGTCCCAGGGTCGGCAAGTAATGCACGATGTTGAATTTTCTGGGATGACATTTGTTGAACATGTCCAAGCCACCGAAGTCAGTGTTTCAAGATGGTGACACCAATTGGATTGTTGTCTCTGTGCCCAAACACACGATGCCAAACCTCTGCATTACTAACATGGTGTTGCCACTGAATGTCAGCAATCCTTCGGAGACAGTAGTGATCGAACACAGAGAGTCGTCTAACATCCTCAACTCGGAGAGGCCAGGTTTCACAAGCATAGAGCAGAACTGCTCTCACCGACGCGTTGTAGATCCCACCATTTACAGCCAGACTAACATCACGAAGACGCCAAAGATGGCCCAGATTGGCATAAGCCGCTCTGGCTTTCACTATACGTGCGTTGATCTCATCACTCACGCCACCACCAGCACTTATGCAGCTACCTAGGTACACGAACTTCTCGACTACTTCTATCTGCTCATTTATCCAGGGTGAGTACAGGATTAGAATCCTGCCAGTCTTGTAGAAATACTTTGCACTTTGAAGGTGCAAAGCACATACCTACGGACTCTGATTGCCAACTGATTAAGTGCGGATTGAATGGCTTGGGCATGCTCGCACAGTAGGACAATACCATCAGCATACTCAAGGTCGAGAAGTCTTTCTCCAGGCAACAGATCCACACCACCATTACTTACATCCATCAGAGCTGTTTCCAGAATGTCATCGATGGCAAAGTTGAAGAGGAATGAGATTGGGCAACCCTGCCTAACCCCAGTGCTCGAATGGAATAGTGGAGAAAGGTGATTGTATGCCCTCACTCTGCCTGAGGTGTTTGTGTATAGGGCTTTTAGGATGTTAATAAACTTCTCAGGCACATCCTTCTTCAATAGACAATCCCAGAGAACAGTTCTGTCCAACGAATCGAAGGCATGATATCAAGAAACACTACGATTGTTGGCCTTTGATAAGTATGACGGCGTTCTAACATTTGGCGGAGGGTGAAGATATGATCAATACATCCTCAACCAGAACGAAACCCAGCCTGCTCCTCGTGAGTCAATCCTTCTCAGGTTTTGAACAACCTACGAAGTATAACGGAAGCCAATAGTTTGGGCGCAATCGGAAGTAGACTTATCCCCCGATAGTTGTTACAGCAACGACGTGAACCCTTTTTAAAGATAGGGACAACTATCGACTCATTCCATGACGTTGGTACACTCTCTAGTTCCCAGACCTTTGCAAACAACGTCGTCAGCCCCTTAGTCAGAAAGTCACGGTCACCCGGAGTAGACCGACGGGCTTCAATGAGTTGTAAGGAACCAGAAGAAACCCAGTGCTTATAAGCGGGACGTTTCGCGAACCCACAAGTGACTTTACTCGCCATTTTCATGGCGTCATGCAATTGCAACCAATGCTCATCTATACTTTTCGGTGGAATGGTAGCTAGTCTAGAAGCTAGTTCGGTTCGGTACTTACTAGCAACAGAAGTTGCAACCAGCGTGCTAACGTCAATCCTGTGGTGGCGGTCACTCCGTTGTCCACTGAAAAGTAAGGTAAGATTGGAGCAGACCAGGGCATAATCAGATTCCAGATAGGTACTCCAAAAGGAGCGGCAGTCTTGTACACAACCACGCCAGCGGTAGCTGATCGCGGTGTGATCAATCTGAGTCCAGGCTTGAGATGCGGAGGGAGGACTCTAGGTGGGACATCGGCGATGACTGTGCCGAAAGTTAGTGCTAGCCAGAAACAGGTTGTGGTCTGTGCATAGTTGCAGTAGACGTTCCCCGTTGTCTGTCCTGCGACCAACGAGTCCCCATCGGCCACCTAAACGACTCTCTTCTGTGCCTAGACACCCGACCTGAGCATTCAAGTCTCCGGCTAGTACTACAATATCTGTCGAACGCACTTTCTGGAGAAGAACAGTTAACTGGTGGTAGAATTCATCCTTGATTGCATCCGGGCAGTATCTCAGCCCATACATAAAAAACATGAACTGTCACCAAGGGGTACCTGCAGTCGTGAGGGTACTGGTGTCCTTAGTGTTTTCGGACCCACGTCACCCAGATTCACAGTCTATGACTTTATCATTGAGCTGTTTTAAGACCGACTGATCTCATATAGGACTGAAATATCTATGATTCGTTAATCACTATGTGGTGACCGCCGTTATATTTGTTTGGCTCTTGAATGCTGACGGAATTCTATCGATCAAGATTTAGTGTGACCACTAGTATAACTGACTCAACATCGGGTGCATTATTTTGATATGTTGGTCACACTGCAACTTCATATATAGAATTGGGTTCGCACTAAATTACAGAGGTCAGTACTTATTGATCAATCAAGCGGAACTTTTTATCTAATATTAATACAAATTTTCTGTTTTCAACCGTATGCTAATTTATATACTTAAATGACCATTAAACTCATATAACTATATATACTTACATAGTTCCAAAAATTATTTACTAAGTTATGAATCTATTTGATTCGTTGTTTTCAGGTTTATCAACAAATAGCTTTATAGTTATATAAATCATACTTTAAAAATATGCGGATCACTAAACGTAACAAATTATTCCTTGTAAGGTTTTACACCATAGGTATGTTTAAGGTGCAATCAGCATGAACAATTTCCTTAAATTATAAGTATGCTATCTTGTTGTGATCCTTACAAGTTGGATTTCTTTCAGTCTAAATTTTCAATAGTTTATTATATTGCAGTCTGTGTTATACCATACATTTAAAGGTCTTTTGAATATGATAACTAGAGATTTTCTTTTCCTTGTTCAGAGAATTTTACCGCTCGAATCTGCTCAAGATCTTTTCCCTGCACCAAGTCGTGCTGTGCCAGGCATGACTACCATTCCTTGTTTGAATTGGCCTGATAATGCATCAAGTGTATACACACCACTTGCGCCCTCTGTTCCCCCAATGATCCCAATTCAACCTTCAATTTTCCCAAATTTTTCAAGGTTTCCATCATATATAGTTCGACCATATAGACCTGAAGATAAATCATGCATGTATGACTTATTCAGAAAACTAATTTTGACTCGTGTTGGTTTACCTGAAAACGCTCTTCCATTAGAATTCCAGGATTTACCAGGTGACAAGTGAGTGAATTCATTTATAAAGTATTTATTTTCGAAGAAAGTTTTAAGAAGATTATGTGTAATTTGAATATACATTTCATCACTAACTAAGTAAAATTACTAAATAATTCAGTTTTTCAGGTTCGACCCTGTTTGGAGTCGTATGTGTACACTATTTAAAAACCCGTTCAAAATAGAACGTACTATTGAATTTTCCCTGGTTTCCATTGTTTCTCCAACTGATGTCAGTTGATAATAAAATTACATTAGGATACCTATATATGTGCTGAGATTACTAGAATGAAATAATCATTGTGTAGTTTTTAATTTTTTCAATAGATTTGTTAATGAACAGTATTAAATACAATAAAACTATAGATTTATTGTTATGGTTATTTTTATTGTAAAAAAATAGTCAAATAAACATCATTAATTTATTTTAAGGTTAATTTATAATATATAACGTAAGTGCATAGCCCATTTATTGTTTATTAGTTTGTTATAAATTATTATTTTGTGATTCAAATGGGCTTTAGATTGTTAACATGAAGTATCCAGTGCTGATCGATAGGTTGAATTACAGTGATACGATGTGACCGGGCAAGTAATAGCCATATTCAATATAGAACCTGGTCAAGTGGTAACTGCTCAAGAGACTGAATTATTGACATCAACCTGCAATGAATCTAGATCAGAAGACAAGACAGTTGACCAGCTGGATAGTTTATTTATTTAATAAAATAACGCACTTATGTACAACATATCAAGCAAAAATAAACATGCTTAAAAGTTAGTCGAAACATTAGAAATCGGGAGATACGTATTTCTTAGGTCAATCAAGTACCATTAAAATTAAGTTTCAATTGTTGGGTTAGTTTTTTTCTCCATCATATCATAATTTAATAATTTTTATAAGTAAACTAAGATTAAAATCAATTTCTTCATAAATTATCGTTGATTGCAATCAGTTTGTAAATAATTGTCAAAGGTTAGTTGTACTCAGTCAGTAACAACGTGGAACTTCGTACGTACGTACATCAGTTCGAGTTGCCATACCACATTAGCACAGAGATTCAGTTATCGATTCAAATCCCGTAGTGGTAGAGGTACTGAAAGTATAAGTAGATATAGGGGACATTGCAAATGATTTTGAGCCATGTCATTGAGTTGCTGCTTTTAGTCTTACCGTTCTCCAATCGACCTGCCTGGCATGGTAGAACCTGCAGGAACATGTGTTCCAGCCAATATAGCTCGGTTGGGTCATCACGATAGGCAAGCCCGACCACCACGTCAAGGTAGCAGCTACGGTCGGGGGTTAGTTGTACTACCAAATAAGGTCATTTGAATCACACAAGAATGGAAACATATTGTCATTTAAATCTGTCAAATATTTTAGTGTGATTTTCATCATTATATCTTGGTTAGTTCAAAGCATGAACTAAATGGTTGTCTAATATTCTGTCAGTTTGTATTAATCTAACCATTTACTAGTTATTTGACAAAACGCTTTAAAACTACAGTTTGTGAGCATTTAAAAAAGCTATGGGATTACCATCTTGGTTAGCATTTTCAGGTTTTGTTCATGTAACATTTTAAAAAGATTGCAATCTACTAAGTATGCTTATTGCTCACTGCCTTTAAATGATCAACAGAAGCTTTTAAGAGTATTTTTTGTGCAAACATAAATGTACTACCTACATTTAACTCGTATATGTTCCTCTTGCTTCATTCGTGTTTGGTATTAACTTTTAGGTACTTACTTCCATTCCTACAACATTCACCTGAAAGTTGTTTTATGGTTATGGGTCCACCCTTCCTGCAGACCTCAGTTGATTGCTCTAGTTCAGTCACAAATACTGATCATTCCACCACAGGTAATTGTGTTGGCTTTGGTGTTTCAGCACCGGATGCTGTATGTTGGGCTCGTGAACGTACTACTCACTATCGAGAGTCAATGAAATTAAAATATCCACGTGATTTCCAAATTGGACTACACAATTTATCGCATTGTAGCAAATTAGTCGTTGGAAATGGTGAGACCAACAACTCTAACTTGAATGTTGTGACTGCAACTGATACTGCTCGATTGGAACCTCCTGTAATTTCATCTGCCCCACTTTCCCCTTTAACAGATGATCGTTCTTCAAGCATTATTCTAAATCAAAATTCTGTGGCTGTCGAAGAATTCATCAAGGTGAATAATAATAGTAATATTTTTTTGCTCATTTACTATCATATTAATATTTCATACTTTGTCATCTTTGTTTTGTGTTATGATTGATGTATTCAATGTTTAATGTACGACAACTGTTTAGACCTACAGATCTTATTGGAGGTAGTAATCGTTGTACTAGTTCCATACACACAATTTACCGACTTAAAAAAATATTCGACGGACCTAATGCACATAGTAATAATGTTTGAAACGTAGTCAATTTGTTTCAACTAAGGATTATAACTTTTTTTTACTTAAGCTGAGATTTCTGACATTGTAGTACTGAGTTCCTGTATCATTATCAAATAAGTGTACTGAGCTGTATGAAGTAGTCCTTTGATTCAAATTCACATACTACTCCAACTAAATAAGGTTTTATTTAAATGAACTAAAAAATATCCAGTGAATATTAAACTAAGTTGATGATAAGTTCGAATTTATACAAAAGTAGCTATGAAATATATGTTTCGTCATAATGGATATCTAAATATGTTCACTTATGATACCTAACCACTGATGACAATGGCTATACTGATTAATATTGAAAGATAGCTACACCTTGCCACAATCAACTATACAAAATATAAATTATTAACTACTTAAAGTAATACTAACGTCTTAGTCATTTTTTTAATTTTCAGTCTATGATTTCTTCTTTCCACAATGATACATCTGAAGTTGTTGATATTGCTGCAGCTGTGAATTTACTGCCTCCTCCTGAACCACTTGGTGGATGCCTTCCCATGGAGCCACCACTATCTGGTTGTTTGGAACAATGTGAACCTAATTGTACGACTGCTCCAATTACTTCTAATATTCCTACTAATTTGTCATCTCAATTAGAATTAAAATCTTTTCCTATTGATGAATGTGGTACAACTATCCCAGCTTTACCTTTGCCTACACCTATTTTACCAGATACCGCCCCTCCATCTCCACCGTCTGGAACTACTTGTGCACCATCATTAGTGCCTGAGACATGTTCAAGTAGTCCTGCAACAACAAATTCAGTGATAGCTCGAAATCTTATTGTTGCTGGTGGACCAGAAGCACTTCACAGTGCTTTAACAGCTCATCCCGCTATTATATGGATTGAATTTGATGATATAGGACTAAATAGTTGTGTTAATGGTCCTACACCTGCTATGCTTATTAATCATAATCTTGGATTGTGTGCAGATTCACCTGAAGTGTTGTTGGATTCTGTAGCACGTCGATTGTTTATTTGTTTGTTAGCGGCATTGAAGACAGTTGGAGCTCATGCAAGTTCATAAATGATAATTTGTTATTATAAAATATGATTAATAAATTTCATTATTGTTTCTTTTGATAATAGTTTTCTTAAATAAGTATAAATTTCGGAGATATATAAACAGTATAATTTTGTAAGATAACATCACTATTTTATTTCAACTTGATCGATAAAATTCATTTGGTCTTAAAAGATGCTCGACAAATATGACAGTGGTCTCAACTCAGTGATTAATCACTTGTAAATAATCTTTAACTTAAATATTTATGTAAGAAATAAACTAGATTAAATTGAATTTATTCAAATCTACATTTAACAAATGCTTAGAAGTAATTATCAAAGATTATTTAAAACTTGAATATATAATGCTCTTGTACATTTTGATTACTGTATTATTAGCTGAGAATTCTATAACACAGAATTACTTTTCAAATTTTCAACTGTGAACCAATCAATCAGGATTGTGACTAAAGTTTTACTAGTATATCATGTGAATGAATTGATAATCTTTTAACTAAATTATCAATGCTTATGCTTATATCATCACATTGGTTACTTTCAAAAAGCCAATTCATGTAAACTGCAAATATTTATATTTCTTAAATTGGAATCAAAAAGTTATGTTTATTTTGTAGATTCATTATTCATGTCATATTTTCCGTTAGTTTATGAAGTTCGATTTTTTTTCTAAATTATATTGGTTGATAATAATGGATTACTTTACTTAGTTTTAACCCGACAACAATATTATCGAAATATATACATATATATTTAATGGAGCCTATATTATCGAGAAAAATTAGTTGAACCAATCTAATGTACAAACAAAAACCATTAAATAACAAGAAAATGTAGTTTTTGCAATTCAATAACAATGAATAATACACTTGATATGAAAGATATAATATTGTACCTTGTGTTGGCCACTGGTAATTACTTGAATGCATCTATGTCTAGTTGATGAGTCTTTATATGAGACAAAACCCACATCAATAATCAGTATGTAATAAAAAACTTTTTTATTTCGTTATTTCATTCAAGTTCTGTTAGTGCTATTATAATGAGGGTTTTAGTTTTTAAACTTTGTATTTATCGTATTTCTATTTTACTTCAGGGAGCACATGTACAGTTGGATACTATCAATGAACATCGGGCAGAACTTTATCGACGTTTTGGTTTTTATCCTGTCCCAGCAGCTTCAAATGAACAAACAACTGTTTTAGCTCGTTTAATCTGATGAAAATCCTATTCCTCTTCCTGTCATATAATCTATGACATAGTTTTCTTGTGTGAATTGTGCAATTATCAATGTTGATCATGATGATATTGCTTAAATTACGTTCCTGTTCTAAATCCATATTATTAAATGTTATCACTGTAGATTATCAATTCACACACATACATATAGTTGTTTGTTTGTATGAATAATCCAAAGACTATTCTGCACGTTAATGAATCTTGTTTTGATTTGTACGTGCATCTCTGTTTGTATGTATGTTTGAAATAGAAATATAAGTTTATTATGTTTATTTAGACAAGTGAATCTAATTTGCCCTCTTGCCCTAATCCATAATCTAATTCGTTTCTAATATCCTTTGGTTAAACATTAAAAGCACAAAAGTTAAAAAAAAAAGAAACGCGTATAGTTGGGTTCTTTTTCAGTGAACGTGCTTATATACATACAGATAGCTCAGTTAATTGATAACTTTTTTACCATTTCTTCCATTGTCCTGTAATGTTGTTACATCATAACGTTTATAAGTATATTTATGCAAACAGTAAAGTTGAAAGTGATCTCTTATAAATTAAAACTACAAATTTCTTTTGATCTCTTTCAGCGTATATACATACATAAATACATGTAGTCTTTTATTTTTAATTGTTATTTGTGCCGATATTAATGTTGCTTCCTTTGCAGGAAGCTAATTTTAATATAAATTGGATGAAAATATAATTTGTTAACCTTTTTATTCTGCAACCTGTATAGTTTACACATAAACTCTTAAGGTTGCATATGCATTAGAACGGATTGTCCAAAAACTAGGAATAATACTTTTGCCGTATACTTAATATATTAAATGCCACTGTACTCCTCATCGATGAAATGACTGATAAAATTATTGAAATCAGCACCCTATCAAATTAAGTCGAAGGATGTATTTCATAACTTGATGCTTATCAAAGTATGGTTCTTATTGATAATTAGTATTCATACCATGTCCTGTTATTTGATTGATAAGCCATTTCATAATCTCAACGTCACTAGTATACAACCGCTAATGTGAATAAAAAGCTGAATCCGAATATTTTCATGTTTAATACATTTCTTTGTTTTTCACTATTTCTCCTTGACACAAAATGTAAACAGAACCGTCTTCTTATTAAGGCATAAATATATACTGAAAGAAACATTACATTGTGCATATTCTATCACAAAATATCTGTTAAGTAATAAAAAAATACACAGAAAACATGTTAAGTAAAAGAATGATTCTTAATTGAAGCTACATTACAAAATAATTGAAAACAAGTATATTATTTAGTGTATGTGAAATATTTTTAAGCCTATTAAATTTACAATAGCTGAATACTGTATGTACATCTATTTTATTTTTAGTTTACTTATTTAATTTGAACGCATAAATATTGGTACAAGGGGCACCAGATATATATGCGCCACACAAAACAATGAGAATGGGAAGAGAAAGAAGAAGGTAAGGTGCGTATAAGAAGAAAAAAGGAAAGAACAGATTAGTGTAAGGTAGTGTAATAATAATAATGAGGAAACGGGAAGATACAACCAGAAGAATTCTTTCAGAAATAGGAACAATAACGGGGTGGATTTGCATGCATGTAGCATACAATTCTCTTTGAACCTAGCACAACAATAGCATCATGCACCTTCCCATCGCCCTTGACAGATCAGGCAACCCGAAGTTACGAGAACACCATCAGGGCATACGACAGGCTAGGTACCCTGATGTCATTGGTTAGTAATAATGGTACTAATATAAATGAACATCTGTTTCAAGTTACACGAGTAAATCAATATAAAAAACGAAGTATTTGTAATATAACGTAAAGAAGGTCAAGTAATTAGCGAATGTAGTGAGAGATTAGAATTGAATGGTAAAAGTAGAATAAACAGTTCAGTAAACTCATAGAATGGCATCATGGAGGAAATGAAGTGTAAATTGAAACAAAAATCTTTGCACAGAATGAAGTCATATATAAGAATGTGCATATGTGAAGAAGTCGGAGTATCTCGCTATTTTTGGTTAATAATCAGAATTAAAGTCTGTATTTCATATTGAACGTGATGTCTTAGAAAATAATCATGTCTGTCACGAAATTCAAATTTTAAGGGGTAGTCATCATTGACCTGAAAATTTATTTGTAATACAGGTTAGACTTAACAAATGCATTAGTTGTCTTAAAAATGTAGGACAACAATCTACTTTATAGTAAATGAGCGTTAAAATTCTTGAAATTTATTTTATGACCCAATTATCGAATTAGGTGTGAAATCCATAATTTCCGTTTAAAAACACGATGCTGTGATAGGAAGTCATTCATAGGTAGGTTTTACACAAACCATTTAATCTCAGAAATGTGCTATATTTAAATAAATTAAGCCTTATTTGACTAAAGTGCTACATCTGCAAGTTTCGCACTAAGAAAATTTCGTCAGAAAATGCTGTCAAATAATTTAGACTACTTATGAGTAGGTAAAGCAATTGTTATTTATTACTCCAACTAATTTCGTATTCAGCATAAACTTTCCATCATATTGTCGCAAATCGAATGAGAACATCTAAAAATTTCATCTGACGAAATCAAAGTTCCTTTTACTGAAGTTCAGATTCTTATTATTTTATTTGAGTTTTGACATTTGAATGTGGAATCTAGTGTGAAAGGTACCCGTTTACTTGAAATCGCGAGTTTTTATACATTAGGTATGAAAATATTTTAAACTCAGCAATGACACAGTAATTAGCATACTTGGATGAGATGAAATAACTTTTAACAATAGACTGATGATATAAATACTACATTTTTCAAGCAAATAATTAGTCAATAAGTTTTGTGTTATAGACAATATGTTATGAATTACCTAGTGACCAATTAATGTACTGTTTTTGATTGAGATCATGAACTGATTGATGTTGGACCACCGTTGGAAACCTGGAGGCACTGGTAGGCCGTTGATGATTAAAATGCGCTCGCTAGTGACTAGATTCTTGAGGGAATTCTCGGAGTTCTAGTGAGAAGCCGTGACCAGTAGAGCTAATCCGTGTCGGGTAGAGAAAGGTATCTACCTCAGTACAATGGAAGGTGTTCGCGCGATTTCGTGACTTCGTTGATGTTAAACATCAACATTATTGGTTGCAGGCTCGGTGGTCCAGTAGGTTAAGCCTTCGTGCGCGAGAATGAAGGCCCTGGGTTCGAATCCCGCGAGCGGGATCGTGGATGAGCACTGCTGAAGAGTCCCACAATAGGATGAGACGGCTGTCCAGTGCTTCCAGGTTTCCAACGGTGTTCTAACATCAATCGGTTCATGATCTCAATGAAAAACGTAATAATCTCCACAAACCTCATACTGATAATGTACTATCGTTAGAAATAATTTCAATGTTATGTAGAAAACGGTGGAATGGAAATAGAATGTTTTGACAAAAATACAGTAATAGTAAATTGACAATTTGTTAACAAAATATAATAAAATGAATGTTCTTATTCAAAGAATATTATTATTATCATTACATACAAATTTTCAATTGTTGGTTAATATAATTAGTAAAATTTATAGTAATCACCATTGTCAATGCTATTTATGTAGTTATCCACACGTCTACTAGATATTAGGGTGTTTTTGAAATTTGTGCAATCAACAAACTAAACAAAATTCATAGTCTTTTAAACCATATTTTCTAGTGAAAGTTAAATGATCTTATGAATACAAATGTGTATTTTCAGTGTTATATTTCTCATTAATAGTTCTATCGATGCTCAAAAAATATAGACAGATATTTGAGACGATAATAATTACTATTTAATAACCTACTTTAAGGTTTATTCTCAAGACTGTTCAACTAACTTGGTTAGGTTTGTTGGTAATATTATTCACTGGTTATCTAAACCGCATTAATTATAGTGAAGTTTGAATTCATGACCGTATGAACTGAAAGTTTATTGAATTACATTTTTAATTTAATTTTGTATCACGCAAATAGGGGTATATATATGAATACATCATCAATATTTAAGGTGATTTGTTCAATTTTAGTCATTATGTAGTTATATTGCAATACATAATCCACTGGCGGTATTCTTTTAGGAGTGCTGGATAAGATAGAAAATATTTGTGTATGGAACACTAATCCTATGTTTTGTATAGTAGAATATTTGCTACTAAAATGTAATCCAAATACAATTACTAACATACTTACGTCTGTTACCCCTCATTGAAGAGCATAGGCCACCCACAAACATACTACATCTGGCTCAGTCCTGGAAAATCCTTCCCAGTTGCTATTCATCCTTTTCATGTCTGTGTCCAATTCCCGACTCAAGGAGTTCTTTGATTTTCCACTCTTCCTTTTCCAATCAGGATTCCAAGTTGGCACTTGTCTCACTATGCAGTTTGATGATTTCCTCAATATATACCCTATCCACTCCCCGTGTCTTTTCTTAGTTTTCTATTCAGCTCAAAGCTGGTTTGTTACTGTTGGTATCTGATCGACGGACACTGAGAATCTTAAGTAGACAAATGTTTATAAATACTTTTACCTTTTTGATGATGGTTGTGATAGTTCTCGAAGTTGCATCTCCGTACATTAGAACTGTCTCGACATTGTTATTGAAGATTATGACTTTGGTATTGGTTGGCAGCTGTTTTGACTTCCATATGTTACTCAACTGTTATTGTTTGCCAATCCATGCCCTGACGTCTACATCATGTCGTCCTTGTTCATCGATGATACTATCCAGGTACGTGAAGAATTCTCATCTTCCAGAGTTTCTCCATAAAGTGTAATTGGTTTGGTTGGTGTTCTCCGTGTACTGATACAGAGGCTACTACTACACGGTATATATGCATTTGCTGATTTGTATGGAATAGCTTGGCTAGGCCAATGTCCAAATCATCTAGTTGTATCCAAGCTGTCCATTGTATTCTATGCTTCCCGTTGGATGTGGAGGTCTTCATAATCCAGTCAGTTACCAGAAGAGAGGGAGAGAGTTGTCAGGCTTGTTCAACATCAGTCCTCACTTTGAAATGCGTCTGTCAGCTATCTTCTATCCATAACTGCACATATTCAGTGTGGTGTTGATGATGCTTTTAGCTACTCATTCCATAAGGTCCTACTATCCACAACGTCAAATGCTTTGTCATAGTCAAGGAAGTTGATGTATAGTGACGAGTTCCATTCAATTGATTGTTCAGTGATGATCCGTAGTGTTGCGATTTGTCTGTGCATGATCGATCCTTACGCTATCCAGCCTGTTGATCTGGATGTTGGGCGTCTACTACGTCTTTTATCCGGTTCAGCAACATTCTTTTGAAAACCATTGCTGGTACGGATAGTAGTGTGATGCCTTCTGTAGTTCTCGCATTTGTTCAGATTCAGTTTCTTTGGTATCTTCATGAAGTATGCTTATTCCCAGTCTGTCTTTGGCACTTATTATTCCTCCCAGTTCTTTACGGAGAGAATGTGGAGCATCTTTGCAATCAACCTTGTGTTTGACTCCAGTACTTCAGATGGTGTGTTTTCATGTCGTGCTGCTTTCCCACTCTTGATTTGTCTGATGGCCATCCAGATTTCTTCTGTTGTCGTGGAGTGACATCTGTCGGGATGTTTTTGTGTGCTGCTTCGATATGTGGTGGATTCAATGTAGCTGGCCTATTCAAGAGTTCCTCAAAGTGGTCTACCCACCTGTTCCACTGTTCTTGAATCTCGGAGAATATCT